TAGCCATGGAAAATCACCATTTTTAATAGGTAAACCATCTATTTCTATGGGTCATCTATACCATGGCTATGTTAGTCATAACCAGAGGGTAATCACAATCGTTCATGTTAATTCCCCATAGATCCCACACCTTCCCGGGCAGGTATAGCCTGCCGCCAGACCATGAGTTTATTGACGGTGCCTCCCGTGCGTTACACCACGCTGGGATCGCAAAAACTTCCGGACCCCGACGTCATTGCATAAAGCTGACACCAACTGCGACGTTACAACTTGTGGGTGTGTGTTTGCCATACCAGGTGATACAATCATTTTGTTGGTCACAGGGAAAATCACAACCACATGGGACATAGCTAGGAGGTGAAATAAAGATCAACCAGTCAACGTGGCGGTATACCCTATTTAATTATTCAGATGGTGTTCGTTGACTCGGCCTTGAGATGGTCCAAAAGGATCAGAAGTTGAAATGTCAGAGCATGTCAGGATCAAAAAGACTATTTGAGCATCGGAATCGGAGTCATGAGTCATGAATTCACTTTACTTTGACGTATGTAATTGGATTTATTTCACAAACCCACCAGTTTTCTGGTATATACATATATATATATATATATATCAGCATTGCGAAATGACATGTTGGCATCGGCAGACTTAAATCGTGATTGGAAACACACCTGCAGGGCCAGATTTGACAAAGATTCAAGTTCAAGCCAGTAGGGCCAGGGATATATAGTTCGTCTATAGCTCTGCGCCACTCTTCCCCAAAAAGACGTGCAGCCTTCGGTTTGGTGGCCCGCATGATAAGAGGTCGTTTGTTTTCTCGCCATGCTGTGTTTTTTTGAGATGGGAGAAATTGCGATATGATTGGACCATGCTTTGGTTTGGACTAGGTCATGAGTAGAGGCGTTGCGTCTCGGTAGAGGCCTTGCTGCTTCAAAATCCTGCTGACACCATCTCTGACACCTGCTGGGAGTTTGACTTTGCACGAGATTACAGCCTAGACTCATATTAAATCCATTTAGATCCTCAAAAAAAAGTGAGGAATTTCGAAGCAGTCAAGTTGATCAAGTTGATAGGGACTCAGAAGTGAATGTGGGGGTTTACATAGCACCGAAAGTGGGACGGCCATTTCGGTTCCCATCGAGCTGAATGGTTAGCAGTGAACAGCAACAAAAATTGGCTTCCGACTGAGGTGTGCACCAGGTACATTGCAGAGCTGCAGATGGCTGTACTTTGTATATCTTTGTATAGTGTTTTCATGTGTGTTTTATATGGAAATCTGTAGATACTAGGTACTAGATACATCTAGATACCACTTGGAGATCACCGTAATTGTTCCCTCCTCTTTTCTGGCAGGACAGGCAAACCTTGATCCTTACAGGAGGACCATCAGCACACTCGTTGATGCTGTTGAAAGGTCAGCTCGCAAAAGGCTTTGGTCATCCCAAAATTGGAAGTTTGGTTTAAGTGAAGTTACCCTCTGGTAAACTAACATAGCGAACTGGAAAACCCCCATTTTTATTGGGAAAACTCACTATAAATGGCCATGTTCAATAGCTTTTTGTATGTTTACCAGAGGGTATAGGACTGACAGTCCAACTTTTTAAGCCACCAAGAAAAAAGAAGGGGCACATCAGAGCCATGGAGATAGCATGCGTGGCACCGTCTCCCTCAGCTTCTTGCTGACGCTAGACACTCGTCTCCGCTCGAGCTCGTAACAACGGCTGTGCTTTAAGCTCAACCTCTCGCGTATGTTTAGCCATGTTTTGTGTGGGCAAGGTGAAAGGTAAATGCCAAATTGATCTGGCACAACGAATCACCCGAATCACTTGAATCCCTTAGCCCAAGTCACAGTGTACAGAACAGCCATCATAATGTATAATACGCATCAATTGTACTTGGGATAACCATTCTTCTTTGGTTCCCAACAACAACCATTCCAATGTTGTCCGGTCTCTTCTCTGTTGATGGGAACGGCCCAATGTGCCTTGCCAGGTGCTACAAATGAAAAACACGGATTGGTGGCCGGGTTGAAAAGTTACAGATGATTTCTCATGAGGACCCACACACCCACATACAGACATTCTTTATGGACATGTCTATTACAAATATTTTGAAATAGACATAGTTAAACATGTGGATATCCAAAATCCAACCATTCAACATCATTCAACACTCCAATGATAAAGACTTAGAGAAACTTTGGAGAAATTCGGGGGAGTTCACCTAGGAAGTTGGCAGCTACAACCCCGAGCTGTCCTGAATCTCGTTGGATCAATCGGATGGTGCATGGTGCAGGAAGCATCTCCTGTTTTTTTTCCTGGGTCAACCTGGTGAATGCTTGATTATCAATAAATATCATTATGTTAACCTTATTATATATGGGCATGTCTGAAAATGGGGTATACCCCCAATGAAATAGCCATAAAAAGTAGGGATAATGATCAGCAAAACCATTGGGTGTAGGGGTACACTATTTTCAGACAAACCCATATATATATATATACATAGATATATGATATGTTTCAACCACTGAATATGCAAAGGCATATTAGGCAATGCCATGTTTGCGGAGACATAATTCAAACACCAGATGTGATGAGAGCCATGTCTTCATGGGATGATGCACGACTTTGATTTCTGATTTGAACCCAGAAGTTGTGGGGTCAGACGTACAGTGCATTTGCAATGTGTATATATATATATTATTATATATTATACATATATATTTTTTCTTATATAGTGTTTATGTTATGGATTGTGTGTATAGTGTATACATGTGCATATATCATATATGATGTACAGAGAGAGAGGTAAGCGCAGAGATACTTATGATCAGAAACAGAAACATTCAGGCATTCTATCTTCAAGGGATCATTGTATGAAAAGGATATCACAACAACTCGTTGGCTTTTGTGTCAAGCGGGCATTCCCCTTTCCAGTGATTTAGAGTGTTACAGTAGGAGCATGTACGATGTGCTATGTGCAGGCCCCCAGAGTTTCCATTGTGTTGCCTCAACATCCCTCTTACCAACACCAATACGCAGTATATTCATTTCAAATCCAGCCGCTACCCAGAACTTTGTGAAACTGTACTGAGCTCAGATTTTCTCAAAACATTTCTTGGATGATACAAACATGTTTTCACACGTGTCTACTTTCACCCCAAGCCATTGCGGACCATAGAGTTGCTTCTTGACTCTGATTCCCTGTCCCAATATCTGAAAATCCCATGACAGTTACCCGGCATGGATCTTTGTCAACATCACAGATATATGTTTTTTTTGTTATGTTTTAATTAATTATATATATACAATTAGCTCTGTTATTTGATATAATTACATACATCTACATATATTATACAATTGCCCCATATGATTGCCCCATTTCGAAACATGCTTGGCTCACACTGAGGTGCTGGATTGGTGGAAGATGGCTTTTCGTGGGACCGTTTCCGGCTCGACCTCCTGCGATGGCCGCTTGATGTCGGCAAGCTGGGGGTGCATCACAGTTTATAAGTGGGTAATAATATGTAAGAACCCAATGTTAAATCCATAATATGTATACGTATACAAATATATATATATATATATATATTTTATAGTAAGATACAGTATGATAATATATATATATATGTAAGTGGGAAGTTCCGTATCATGTATATATATATATACATAAGTGGCTTGTAGCCCACTTAGTAACTTGGATGCACATCCAAGAAACAAACACCCGAATATCGCACATCAACGGCAGGTGGAGCTTTACAAGAATCGCATCGAGATGGAAGTTGGAGATGTTTGGTCTCAATGCTCTCATCACAATATCAATGGGAATTTCAGGATCCTAAAATGGAGGTACTGTACCATATTTCTGGCCATATTTTGTGGTGATATTCACTTACATAGGCCTTATTTAGGCCTTATATATGGTAGGTACCTCCAGTTTAGGATCCTGAAATTCCCATTGACAATATAATGTTTGTTCCGAGAGAATGTAGCTGATAGATATGTGAAATATGTGAAAGATCCATGTGAGCAGTGGCTGCTAAACCCCGGTTGGTTGATGATCATAAGGGATTTGACTACCCAATATATTTGGGATTATGATAATCCAATAGGGGAATCCCTATAAAGCAACCAGTATAATGGAATGATTGAGGGATTTTGAACACTGCCCATATGCATATAGTTGTATATAGCTACATCTGAATCCGTTATCATAAGTTGATACTATGGCAAGTAAAGGCAGGAGAAACAAGCGCAATGGTACTGCATAAATAGACCCTGTGTTTGGGCCTACATGCCAAATGGCGTACTTAGTGTGGGATGGTCACACTAGAAGGATTACAGTATTGAAAATAAGCCCGGCGCCTAGTACTCGAAATTGGTTCATATCCACGGCTTTCTCTTGCTTAATCTTCATCTTTCCCTAACGTACTGCTCATGATCAAAATGTCCCTGGTTATTGGTAGAAAATGTGAGGATCATCCGCTTTGCAGACGGTTGTTCATCCTGGCGGCATTTCCCTGTATAGATGTTACTCATACTTACTCCCAAAATCTACCACGAAAACGATTTATATTGCAATATTATCACTCTGTTTACCATAGTTTTACCATGGTTCTACCATGGTTTTACCATGGTTCTACCATGGCTTTACCATGGTTTTACTGTAGGTTTACCATAGTTTTACTTTGGTTTTACTTTGGTTTTACTATAGGTTTACCATAGTTTTACCATGGTTCTACCATGGTTTTACCATGGTTTTACCATGGTTTTACTACGGTTTTACTATGGTTTTACTATAGGTTTACTATACGTAGTTTTACCATGGTTCTGCCATGGTTCTATCATGGTTCTACCATGGTTCTACCATGGTTTTACCATGGTTTTACTATGGTTTTGCAATGGTTTTACTATAGGTTTACCATAGTTTTAGCATGGGTCTGTCACGGTTCTACCATGGTTTTACCCTGCTTTTACCCACTTTCACATCTTTTGGGGATGCTGCTCGAAGGTCCCAGATATTCCCCATCCCTCTGCAGGTCCACTGGTCGGAGCTCCACCTGGGCACCGCAGTTCGCGGTGCCGGACCTGACCCCTGCGGCGCTGCAAAGGGCGGCGGAGGCGAAGGCGGGGAGCGGCTGTCCATTGGGATACCTGGCGCTGATGCGGCTGCAGGACAGCGATGGACAGCCACGTGAGTTCGCCACGTTTTTTTTTCGGAGGTGGCCCAAGAACCTTAGCTACGTGAGTGCAAATCACTCTAATAACTAGGCTATATGATACAAAATAAGTTTGTTGATGGGGGTTATAAACTTATAACTGGAGGGGCACCATCTTGAAGGTGGTTGTGATGAGTGTTTCTGATGCAAGAGTCTACCTGTTTCTCAACCACAACTAAACAGGATAATAGACAGTACATTTGGATGCATTTGGATATATTTGATGATTTTCGGTGTACCTGGGGACACCAGGGAGCATTGAATGTCCTTGTAAATTTGAATGAAAGTCACCGCAGGGCTTCACAGCATTGGTTTCCGTTTGACAAATCATTGTTCTTCCCCCAACTCTGAGTGACACATGGGCACACTTTTCAAACCACACATTTTCTCAGATCAACTCAGCGGCTTTCACCGGATCGTTACCAACCTATGGCTATGGGTGATGCATCCAGCAACCATCCGTGGAGTCGGGGGGTCCCAGACTTCCCAGGAGCTTTTCCTTCCCTGGAGTCGGCCACGCTCCACCATCCTGGCGCTCACGAAGTATGTGGCACAGCGGGCTACGTGGCCTGGGCATGAGTTTTTGGGAGTGGCATGAGGTTAAAAGGTGGATGCGTTGAATCGAAAATGAGATTGCTGGTTGATTGGATGAACATTTAACAAGACAAATACTGGGAAATTTACTGAATTGTGCTGCATTTTGTCTGATTTTATTTATTTTTAATTGCAGAACTCGACGCATTTCAGTCACTTGAAGAGGCTAATATGGGGAATATGAACCTTGAACCGACTGGTTTCGGTTTGTGGTTTCAGATTATAGTCATTTATACTTTTGAATTTACTTTGCACACATGTTTGGAATGCGTTAAAACCACCAATTGAAATAGGGGAACAGCCTACCCGGCAGTTGAGGGTGGTGACCCGTTGGGATGTAATTTGCCAATGGGACCTATTTGGATCTATTTGGTCACAACGTCACAGAGGGGGTTGAGAAATAGTGCCCTAAGCTAGCATAAGTCCAACCTGTAGATGATGCAGTGTTTCGAATGATTGGAGATCCATATGCACCGGGCAGAATCAATGGTTCAACATGTACATCACCTGCGTTTTTTGTGTTGCTCTGGCTGAGGTTCTTATCAAAGGCAGAAACATGGGAATCCGGAATACAATGATTTTTGGTCAAGGGAATCCCTATTTATCATCCAGGGTCATGGCTACAAGTCCAAACGGTCCTAACGCATTTCAAGGTGATAAATAGCCACTGACTGGCGATCACGACCATTACTAGCCGCTTTTTGTTCATCGCTGGCAGTGTGGTTCTGATGGGTTTCTCCAACCACCAGGCTGGCTGATGTCATGTGGTCCTCTTGGCCTTTACCCTTCTTGCTGAGTCAGGCGGGTGGGAAAATATCAAGCTGATGGGAGGACAAATGAACCATGAGAGGCTGGAAAAGTGAAGTTTTTGACTTTTGAAGTGTATCTTATTCTTTATTTAATTTTAGGGGTATGTCTTATTCATTGATATATATTCTGGGGGTTACATCATGTTATTCTCATGGCTGTGCCAGTTTTCAATTATAGCATGTGATTCTTCTTATTTTTACACCAACTATGCATACAATGTGAGGCCCCCAAGATAGCTAAGTTGGTGAACATAACTCCAATAACTATGGTTTATGGTACTTATAACTATAGTTACTGGGGCTTATAAACCAACTTAGCTATCTTGGGGGCCTCACATTGTAGATCTGTTTGATTGTTGATTTGTCACCGCCCCAGCTCCTGGTTCTTGTGGTGGTCAGCCCGAAGCGTTGTGCTGAAAAAGAAACGCCCGTTGCATGTTTCATTTATCGTAAGAAACTGAGTGATTGGGAAAACAAACAAGTATATATTTTGTTTGAAAGTATATATATATATCTAATAATATATATTTAATATGTGTATATAATATAATACATAATATATAATAATAATAATGATGATAATAATAATAATATATATATATATACGTATAATATTATATATATAATAATAATATATATATAATCATAATATATATATATGTGTGTGTGACTTTTCCAACAAGCAGGAAGCAAATAGCAATCCCCAACTGGGATTTTTTCAGTGGGTATTTTTTTTTGTTCGAGACTTCCACCAAACTTACAGGTGCTAAACGTAGGGAATTTTCGGGAATGATCCATTTCATCACTATAGTAAGTCACTAGTAATGTCATAATCCCAGCAACCCCCAGCAACCCATCCATTCCCTACTAACTAAGCACCAGTAAGTTAATTTACAACTCCCATAGTTGGAAAATCCACAGGAATCAATGTGTAAAGGTGGCAGTTTTCCTGATAGAATTCTCCCATTGGATAATCGATAGTTCCCATTGGAGATCCCGTTAAAGCCACAAGAATCCACAGTTTTCTTTGCATAAACATAGACACTAACGTACATCATGTATAAACAAATATAAACAATAACGATCCATGATTTTGATTGATTTTGGAGTAATCAACTTTATGGTCCAAATAGTCCTCAAGAGTCGGACATTTCATCTGATGATTTTCATCCATGTCCTTTTTCTAGACCCATTGAATCCCATTGAACCATTGTTGGGATAATCCAATAGTTCTAATGGTAATGATTATTAGACGATCATTGTTGGATAAACCCATATTTCTAACATGTTCTATCATAGTATGATTATGATGAGGGCAATATTCCAATATCCCAGGGTAAACTAACATAGATGTGGAAAAACCATGGTTTCCCCAGGTCAACAGTCTATGTTAGTTTACCCTAGGTCTTGGGATTCAGGGAAAATCACCGGAAAGCGTGGTTTTTTCAATGGCCCATATGGGGGTTTCCGGAAAAAAAATAATCCGAAAAACCGATGGCCACTGCCCTGAGGTCTCCAAAGTGCTCTGTCGTTTTGTCGGCTCCCGCCACTTGGTGGGCTTCGCAAAGCCGCGCGTCGCGGCCTACGGACGCTGCTGGAAGGCTTGGGTATCATGTTGTATCCATGTTGTTTGGCATGTTTTTCATGGTGACTTTGATTGTTCACTTCCGATTTTTGGTGCCTCATCCATTTTGTTGATACTCAAACATGACTAGTATATAGATATATATATATATATATATCATATAATATATATATATATCCCATGCTTGTTGATTGTATCACTATAAGACTTGAATTGTGTCGCTGGAAAAAACCCTACAGCATCAAAATTTCGCATGGAAAACCGCACTGTTTCATTGAATCGAGTTTACATGGACAGCTTCGAGGCTTTGAAGGACAAACCCAAGTCCCTAGCAAGAAAATGAAACAACACCCATTATGTGTATATATATATATATATATATACGGATGGGGCCCTAGGTTCTCCGATAGATGATAGGTGTTGATGATCAAACATGTGAAAAATGTGCGTTTCGCCCTAGCGAAACTAGCATTTTGACATGAAGCATTGTTATGTGGAATTGGGCATCAAAACGGATGAAAAAAATATCGTCCGTTTTGAGCGCTTACAAAGTTGTGATTTTTTCAGGAGGGTATAGTTGTAAATCCCCTTATAAATGCAGCACAGATACGTTGCGATGGTATGCAACATATGTTGAAACATCTCATTTTACCCTGTGTTTTCACAAGCAAAATAAAGGTAGCCTTATTTTACATGGTATTTGCACTATATTTGAATGTTGCTTGGAAGTGAGGAACCCTGACAGTCAGCATGTTTTTTGTTCCCCACCTGCCAGGTGAGGGTTGTTAGATCTTATCAGAGCGCATGCCCGCCTCCTCCTCCGCCTCCTCCTCCTCCTCCTCGACTACCTGTCCTCCTCGCCCTCCTCCTCGCCTCCGCCTCTTCCACCTCCACTTCCGCCTTGCTCCACCTCCACTTCCGCCTTGCCAACCTTGCCAACTCGTCGCCAAGCTCTACGCCAACTGCCCAGCTCAGTGTGCACCGCTGGACCTCAACGGCCAGATAGAATGCCAGAAGATATGCCAGATAAAATGCCATGAGATATGCCAGATAGAATGCCAGAAGATATGCCAGATAGAATGCCACAAGATATGCCAGATAGAATCCCAGAAGATTTTCCAGATAAAATGCCAGAAGATATGCCAGATAGAATGCCAGAAGATATGTCAGATAGAATGCCAGAAGATATGCCAGATAGTATGCCAGAAGATATGCCAGATAGAATGCCAGAAGATATACCAGAAGTTATGCCAGATAGAATGCCAGATAGCATGCCAGAAGATATGTCAGATAGAATGCCAGAAGATTTGTCAGTAAGAAAATGTATAAATGTCATGGTGGGGATCACACGAAGTAAAGTATTTTTTATCTTTCGTGCATGTGTTTTCATTGTAATATCCCAATCGAAACTCATGTGTGGTTATTTTTTCCATGGTATTTCCCATATGGATTCAAGATATTGTTTTTGTTTCGACATCTGTGCTCATGACGAGGTTTTTTTGTGGTAATTTATGATATGACCAATGATATTGTTACTGATCACTAACTGTAAGAATGCATGTAGCTAGTTTTGTTCATAGTAATGGATCATCATTGTTCACTATTATACACTGACCATGGAGCATGAACCAACGATTACCTGTCTTAATCCAAGTAATTTCAATAAATCATCATCAAGTAAGCGTTAATTATTTCTGTTATCACCATTGAACAATCATCAAAATCAATCAAGTGATTGACGAACCAGAAATCATCCAGTGCTTGATACTCCAGCTCCCTGCATTCAATACCTCCTGTCACATGCCACGGTGCCACTTCGATGAGAAAATTTCCACGAACGATAATACACCCCACCCCCCACCCCACCCCGCCCTGTCGCGGAGCATGATACAACGTGATCATCTGCGGCGGAGCATCAAACAACGTGATCAACATTCCACGAACGATAATGCACCCCACCCCACCCCACCCCCCACCCCACCCCGCCCTGTCGCGGAGCATGATACAACGTGATCATCTGCAGCGGAGCAACAACCGGTGTGCGGTCACCGGAGAACCTGGGTCCCCGAGGGTATATATATATATACGGAGGTTTCCTAAAATAGGGGTACACCTAAATCATCCACTTTCTATAATCGGATTTTCCATTATAAACCATCCAGCTCTTGAGGTACCCCTATTTCAGGAAACCATCAATATGTATACTGGATAATATAGGTGTTTCTTAAGTCATGTGGGATCCCCTAAAGTCACCATAGGTTTCAATACTAAGTCATGGTCTGATGATAAAAATCATTACACAATTTTCAGTAAGTTATTATCAACCATTATTGTCACGTTAATGATTCTACGACCATTATCTAGTGGACAATGATCTCATTGATCGTAACCATATTAGTGGTTTAGTAACGGTTTAGAATCTGTAGTCATCAATGTTATTAGATGTATTAATGTTACTTCCTAATAGTGATCATTAATCGCATTCATATCCATTTCTATAACCATAATACATTTTACATCATTTTACCATTTGATATGCTTGATATGGCTCATACCAGTTGTAACATGTTATAACCATATCAACCATATTAACCATTTCTATAACCATTTCTATAACCATAATATGGTTGTGATCTCACTCTGTATCACCGTTCGGTTGGCGCAGTTTCTGGCTTCGTTCATTTCGCCAGGCCAGGCCCAAGATTTGGTGCCTGGCGCGTGCTGCGCGCCGCCTCACACTGCGCTCCATCAGTGAGGCCCAGGATGCTTTTAATGGGTTGGAATGTAACCCCTAACAAGGTGGCGCCCCGATTTTCCATCCAAATCCTTTGCAAAGTTGGTGCCTAAATTTCTGCCGTCATCACATCGAATCACTAGGCTTTATGATGCATATATCCATGCTGATTATCTTATGGTGAAAAACTACAGTAACTTGTAACTGGGGGGACACCACTCTACTTAGTTAACCCAGCGGTGGATTGGCATGGGGTTGTTTGAAAGTCGAATCCCAGAGTTTATGTTTGAGTAAAATGGTCGCTTTCCCGTGGAAAATGTCGGGATTTTGGGGATGTGTATAATATTATTATAATATATATATATATATTTAGTATAATATAATTATTATATATATATGAGTCATTGTCAAAATGATTGAAGAGTTGAAGACCACTTTTTTCAGTATTGCATGAGTTTTTTCTCAGAGATCGAAACAGTGCAAAGTAATATGCTCCTCCCCAAAAGCACTAATGACACAAAAGAGGAAAACAATATGGCTCCCCAAAAAAAACGATAACCAACAATAGCAACTATTGAGATGTAAAGGATTTTCAGGGGAACTCCAATATACTCATATACTACTTTGGTTGAATTTGGTTCAGATGGGATATAAAATGACAAAACAACTGGGATGAAATGGAAAAAACACCAAGTTTTCAGGGGGGATGATCCCGAGGGACGGAAAGAGATCCGGCGTTGGATACGATGAATTTCGCTTAACAACAATGAGTAACATCTACCAACAGATATGACAGACTATATACCTGACAAATCTTCAAGTTCCAACCTACAAAATTCAAAAAACTTGTAACATCTTGTAACATCCCATCCATTTTTGTTATCCTTTATACACATGCCACTTAAGATTTTTAAGATCACAAAAAAAATATCCCAGTTCCACCATACTTTACCATACTTTACCATACTTTATCCCAGTTTGTTCTCATCTTTGCCATACTTTACCCCCAAAAAACCATGGATTAGTAGTAGTACCCTCTGGTAATGACTAACATAGCTATTGAACATGGCCATAGAAATAGTGAATTTTCCCACGAAATATGGCGATGTTCCACCATCAATGGGAATTTCAGGATCCTAAACTGGAGGTACCTACCATATATAAGGCCTATATAAGGCCTATGTAAGTGAATATCACCACAAAATATGGCCTTATATGGTACAGTACCTCCATTTTAGGATCCTGAAATTCCCATTGATACCATGTTCTGCCCAGTCCTCCACACTTGGGCATCACCTGGCGCGGCTCTCGCGCTTCTTGCGTCGCCTGGGCGAGAGCCGCGTGGTCAAGGAGCTGCGCGCCGAGGCGACGCACCTGACGCTTGGAAGGGAGATTTGGATGGAAAAACATTACCCTCTGGTAAACTAACGTAACTATGGAAAATCACCATTTTTAATGGGTAAATCCACTATAAATGGCCATTTTCAATAGCTATGTTAGTTTACCAGGGGGTAGTTATACTAGGATAATATATGAGGATAATGATTAATATACATTAAGCTATACATTATCAATATCATACAGTAGTTACAATGATTAATAATGAGGATATACATACATATAATGATGATATTTCTAGTGATAATAATATCAAAATGATATTAAGAATGATTGATGATGATGATATAAATACATAGTTATATATTATAGAGCTGGATTTTGGATGAAATACATGCTTTTGAGAATAGTTATAGAATGTTATAGACAAGTTCTAGACACTTAGTGAGAGTCCATGATTTGTGAAGGGTTTACACTGGCTATATAGATAGAATTAATCAGATATAGTACTAGTATGTACTAGTTACTAGTTTTTTGAACACATATATGATATAACACATATAACAACTTATGGTGGATGTGATAATCAATCTTATGGTGGATGTGATAATCAATCACTATGAATTCAACAAAACTTGACGGAGAAGATTTATCAAGCACAGGAGGGTTCCAGCAGGATTGCGCTTTGCATACGAATTCCAAGAACAGATTGTGTGTGTATACAGTTCAAAGTATATTCCATATCATTGTTAACTATTGCTGTGTAATACAGGGCATGTATATATCATATGATATACACATATTGTACTATTATATATAGTATTGTATGATAGAGATATTTTATCATATATAGTATTATGTATATGTAGATATTATGTAGATATTATGTATACTATATTATTTTTTATGTGTTATATTATATATATTGTGCTAATAATATATCATTTATTTTATAATATATATATATAATATACTATTATATTTAATATAATATGATATAATATAATTTGATATAATATAATTTGATTTAATATCATATAATATGTAGTATGTGTATATATATGTATATATATTGTAATATATATATATATATTTATATATATATATATATACAAGTATGATATTATTATATATATATATATATTAAATATAATATATTATAAATATAATATAATTTATATAATACAATAAAATATATAATATATCATATATATATTATATTAAATACTTTTTTATATACACATTTTATTTTATATATATATTATACATGATTATGTAATAGTGCGTACGGCGAAATTTGGACACCCGAGCACAAACATCTCCACTTGAGGATGCTCTGGAACGCCCTCGCCAAGCTGCAGGCGTCGACCACAGGTTGATCCAGTAGACGTCATTGGATGTTGTTTTTTGCTTTGATTTGCTCGACAATGGGTAGTTTATATTAGTTTATCCTATCTTGGATTGTGTAGTGTACAGTTGCCAGCTTTTGGGACAGGCCGTGTGAATTTATGGGATGCACGTCCGCACAGTCGTCGACTAGCAGCGGGTGAATGAGAAAAAAACAAATCCTATCTCATCATCTCATCCTATCTTATCCTATCTTATCGATGCTTCAAAAATCACATTATGATGGTGCCCTATTGATTTGCTCAACATAAACCAATATAAACTGTACACTTTGAATCATCCAGACCATGCCACCCCTCATAAGTCATACGTATGTATACCGCAGACACCCCCAGAATGATGTCGAAGAATAGCAATGTCCAACTCGAAATATGATAGATGGGTGTGTCTGGAAATGGGTGGGTGTACACTATTCATGACCAATTTGGATGATCTACCCTCTGGTAAACGTTCACATAACTATGGAAAATCACCATGTTTTATGGGAAAACTCGCTATTTCTATGGCCATGTTCAATAGCTATGTTAGTCATTACCCATAGGATCCATGTATGCTATATATGGTAACATTTACCATCAATATACCCCAAATGTTAGCATATATACCTTACATGGATCCTATGGGTTACCAGAGGGTACTACTACTAATCCATGGTTTTTTTTTGGGCGAGGCATCGCTCTATTCCATGACCTCATTGGAGGGCGACTGCAGAGTGAAGCGACTCTGCCCTGCCTGCCTGGTCCCGGTACAAGGGGAATGGGTGCCTTGATGAAACGATGAAAATCCCAGAAGGATCCAACGACCAACAGGGTGGCTATGAAAAGCCATCATTTTATGGCTACCCTCTGATAATGACTAACATAGCTATTGAAAATGGCCCAGTCAAAATAGTGGATTTAACCAGCTATAAAATGGTGATTGTCCATATAGTTACGTGTTTACCAGAGGGTATATCATGGAAATGGTCATGGAATATCCATGGTGGACAAGGATGGTCATGGAAACTCTTTGAATTCTGGATCATAGCTGTTTTAATAGAGAGATGTTTGTCCTATATCAACTGTTTGTTTTTCCATTGCCATGTTTGATCACCCGAGGGTATCACTGGCTTAGGCAGGGATGATTGGAAACCACCAATCAGGACAAGTAGCTGAGTGGTATCTACATGACATGTAAGTATTATTAAATGTACATACCATACAAATATATATATATATACATATATATTATATATATGTATATTCTATATATAGGATCATGTAAGACGGTTTACAATTCAATACATCGGATGTGGATCAATTCTTCAAACAAACAGTCCCAAAAGGCATTGTTGTCAAGATCATCAGATGGTCCAGTTGATGAATGGATGATCCTGCTAATCAAACATGGTCATCTCGAGAATCGCCCATTTCATTGTTACATGATGTTCCCAATCATTGATACCATCCATTTACTTCAGGGGTTGTTCCATATTTACCCATGATGTTTCCCCTAACATAGATGTCCTTTTCCCATTGGTTGGTTGATTAATAGAGGGGTTTGAACAAACCCCTTTAACAACGGGTAAATGATGATAGATGGTATACCAAACCGTCCCCTAATTTTCCTATTGTTACTCAATGATGTCCCCATTGGAATGCCACATTTCCCACGGCGTTTTTGAGACGTCGCCGTGGCCGCTTTTTTGTTCATCCCCCTAGGTCCAGGAGGCACAATTCATGGACGACCTGTGGTCGGCCTCGCACAAGGTCATGGAGATCAGCCAAAAGGATTTAGCATGGATATTTACAAGGTGAGGTCCCAGGTCCCCCTAATTTTGTTGGTTTATGAACTAAGATTAACTTTATAGTATAATTATATTCTATAATTGTATTATGTCTATTTATTTCTCATGTATCAGCATGTTCATCATCCTGCATCTGCAACAATGCCAGATGGCCTTCGCACAGCTGGCACCCAACGGCGGCTCCACTAGCCCAGCTCGGGCCTCAGCAGTGGAGGCACTCAGCAAACATGAAGGACAGCGGCGTGCGGGGGAAGCCTGCAGGGTGCCAGGGCCAGGTTTATGTGGTCTGGCCCCAAAAATCATCGATGTTTTTTTGGGTTAAGGTTGGACAACTGGAAATGATGAAATAAACGTATATAAATGTAGTAGACTTATGTATTTATATCTATATATATATATACATACAGTAGTCCCTGCAAATTTCTGGCAACAAATGCTTTGGGGATTCCTGATTCAGGTCCTTCTGAGTCATCTCCTCCCAGTGAAAGGTAAGGACCCATCTCCATCTCCCAGACCCAAACAGAGGCTTCCAAGTAGCGTGGCAGCCAATTTTCCATGGGATATCGGCACAGCATGTTAAGCAGGACATAAAACACAAACAGAGCTAAGTCAACTTGAAGGGTTAGGAAGTTAGAACCTTCAAATTCTGGATTTGTTCATCCAGAGAATCATATTTTTGTGTTCCACAGCCCAAAATGTTTGGCATTTCATGTGGTTTTTCGGCTCCGGTGACCCCTCCGGTGACTCCCAACCAGGATTGCCTTGGCAGCGGAAGTTTCGACAGCTGAGTTTTCTGCTAGGTGTGACGTGGCTCCCCATGCTGCGCATAAGTTCCCATTTGTAACGGACACAAGTCATAAGTACTCAACTCTGGCTGATGCCACAGGAAAATGATACTGGAAAGATATTCCCATGTGCATTAATTGGAAACTCCCATACGGAGGTTTCCTGAGTCATAGGGGTTGCCTCCAGTCATCCAGTCGTCATGACCAGGACCATTGAACCATATGGGGATGGGTCAAAACCCTGGTACCTAGTGAACCCCAAAATAGCTGGGATTTATGGATGTTCATCCCACTAAAAATGGTATTTATAGGTATTGACCCATACCCAGATGGGATTTCATGTGACAACTCTCCTGAAAGATGGCTGGAAACTCCACCTGGCAGGTCGTCAGAAAGCGCTTCCACGAAGCTGGAAACACGTTGCGGGTGCCACCGCTGTGGCCACGGTGCTCTGGAGCGGCCGGCGCTCGGTGGAGGAGCTCTGGACCTACGCGGAGCCTGGGCTTTCCGGTGTCCTGGGGATGTTCGAAAAGCCCATGAGCCACCAAAAAAAACTCTGGATTTCAGAGATATTAAGAGATAAAGTGACCTGAAAATTGGTAATGTAATGTATATAAACACACGCGATATACCGGATACTTTGATTGAAGATACCTGGATGGACTTATACCCAAGAATTGGAGGATTTGGAGTGAACGAGAAGCTGCTTAGGGCGTTTCACCAGTAACGCATGGCCCAGGAAGTGATCGCTACCCTGGCCAGCTCTCTACACAATGTGAGACCCTTTCTGTCTCTGGTGCCACAGGTGGAAGGGCTGGGGGTAGAAGATTTCTTGGTGGTGGTTGAACATGCCTTTGTTGATTCAGGGGTTAAGCAGTTGCGATGAGGTGGAATTTTGTGGATGGTTGGGAGAAGATACAAACAGGTCATGTCATGCCATGTTACGTCACTTCATGTCATTTCATGTTCTTAAGCAGCACGGGAGCAACAAAATCTATGAGAGTTGCAACAGAAGTAGCAAGCAATTCTTGTGTTACTAGTAACTAAATGTAAAGTGTTTAAGTTAAAGGCCATAGGTAAAACCAATACAGTAATTATCAGTAATTGATACCTTACCAGCCATACCAGCTACAGTATGTGGATGTGAAGACCAGGGGTAATTACTGATAGGGGTTTTGACCCACAACCATGTATGGGTTTGTCCAAATACGCACGCCTCGAATCCACTGGTTAAGCATCATGTTATTATTTCATTTTCATTATATATATATACATATATGTATATATAGGCTCGTCCCCGCTTCTGGAACCACATGGGGTGGAGGGGGTGGGGTGGGGTGGGATGTTAACGTTCATGTGACCTTGCGGCAGGATGTTAACGTTCATGTGAACTTGCGGCAGCAGTGGATGCTACGCACATGCGGGGTGGGGGGGGTGGGGTGGGATGTTAACGTTCATGTGACCTTGCGGCAGGATGTTAACGTTCATGAACCGCGCAAACCTGAATTAGGTTGGTAAAACTTGTCCATTCCGTGACGAAATTTCGTCGCGGAATTAACAAGTTTCATTAGGGTCATTATCATCATCATTATCATGATGATGATGATGAAGATGATGATGATGATGATGATGATAGTGATAATGATGATGATGATGATAATGACCCTAATGAAACTTGTTAATTCCGCGACGAAATTTCGTCACGGAATGGACAAGTTTTGCCAACCTAATTCAGGTTTGCGCGGTTCCAGAAGCGGGGACGAGGCTATATATACGTATATGTATATATATACGTATATATATAATTACACTGGTTGGTGGTTTGGAACATTTTTTATTTTTCCATATATTGGGAACAATACTCCCAACTGACTTTCATATTTTTCAGAGGGGTAGGTATACCACCAACCATATATATATATATATGTAAATTACATGGTTTTTGTGTATGCAGGGTATTGTGGGATAAACCCAACTGGTCAAACACCGTTGGGGGATGATTTCAGTCCTACCCATTGACAAGGTGAGGCCCCCTAGACAGCTAAGTTGACTTAGAACTTGGCCAACTAGGGTTTATTGGAATTATCATCATATATATATATATACATACATATTATAGATATATAATGGTTTATAAGACCTATTAATGATAGTTATATCATATATCATATCTAATATGTAACTATCATTAATAGGTTTATAAACCAACTTATAACTGGGGGTCCTCAGCTTTTCAGACAGAACCCCAGCAGGACTTGCCCAGTTCGATCGCACGCTTTCTGCGCTCTAGGGGCGTGAGGCTCGCACGTTTGATCCTTGGAGTTTGGGCAAATCCATTGATTTGTTTCTGGGAGTTCTATGCTTTCTAATTGGGAAATTCTAGGAATTTCCAAGCAATAGATATATCATACGACCAAGCAAGTTATGGATTGTAGCAAATATTGGAGAGTATTTTTCGGGAAATCTACTGTTTTTTTTTCGGGATCAATGCCGCCAAGTTGACCACACAACTGGCTGCACGGCTGGTGTTTTTGTCATAGGAGCAAAGCCAAGCTGCTAAGCTGTTCTGTGACCCTTGAAAACAGCTTGTTCAATCCTCAAAATGAGCAGCTCTTTATACATATATATATATGTATATATACGATTATATATAGTAATATGTATATATATTATATATATACACACATATAGTAATATATTATATAAGTATGTATCTATTATATATATATTATATGTTAAATACATTCAATTAATTTTAAGTACCTCCAATCTTTGGTCCCTAAGTCATGAATCAAGCTGATCGATCCAATACATTCAACCAATATGATCGCGGGAAAGGGTTTTATAGTATAGTGCCTTTTGGCAATTTGCCATAGGCAATGTGTCACCATTTGTATATAGATAAAGCATCAAAGTCTATTGGCTATTTTTTCGAAAGCTATGTCAAATCACCAGAGGGTCTTGACTTCTTGATAATCATCAACCATCATCAATCATTATCAACCACTATGAGATTTTGGTCATCAGTTCTTATCCATGTGCCCATTCTGTCTTTGTTCTTCAAGCTTCCTTGGTCACTGACCAAGGAAGCACCTCTATGTGTGGCCCAGCGCTGATCCACAGGGCATTTGGGATGCCAGTCAACTACCAGGTGGGGAAACAGCCCTGAAGGGTGCTTGGAAAAATCACACTGAAGAAACGGCGTTGAAAAGGTAGAGATGACGGGTTTCTACATTGGTATATAGATGATCACCACCCCTGCAAGGCTACTTTTCAGGGAGGGACCATTACTTTTCAGGGAGGGACCATACCAAAATGTTAGATACATTTTTTGGGACCCCCGGGACCCCCCCTTAAATGTAAAATTGGTCGCTGAACGTCCCCCAGGTGTCGTTTTAGTGGGGAAGGTCTTCAACATACCTTCAAAATGTAAGCTTACATGTTCAAGGCCGCCCTCAAAAACACATGAAAAAACTAGCTTACATTTTGGGTACGTCCCCCACCTTAAAGCGGTGCTGACTATAGATGTATATGTAGGTTCAATCTGTTTCAATGTAAAGTTAGATAAACACCACCATCTCTTTCACTTGAAGCAACATGCTGGTCGAAATCTATCACTTCAAGATGTGGTTTTAGATTAATGTGGTTAAAACAATCATAAACCATCCCCCAAATCACCTTTGAATAGATGGTATAAACCATTCCCAGATGGGTAGTTTATGGCATTGTCTTGACCACAACATATCACAACCACCGTGAGTCGCACCGCAGTAGCCATCTGTAGGTGGCATTGGCCCCATCTACGATTGGCCCAAGTTCCTGCTGTGGGGCTTGACGCGCTACGAACGCCTGGTGTTTTTGGACGCCGATACGTTGCCCTTGGGACCAGGTGAGGAGATCCACTGAGCTCCCCCGAAATCATCGGAATTCCAAGCAGTTTGATGGTTGTGTGGTGGAAAATCACATGGATCTTGAGGGTTTTTGTTGGCTTCTTGGTGTGGTAATTGTGGTTTGGTTGTTTCTTTGAAATTGTAAAAACATAGCTGAAGAAAACCAGTATTTTTGGAATCCAGATTTGTTGGTGCAGTCCCCCCAATGGTGGTTCCAAAAGTTGGAAAGTTTGCTGGTGAAATCCTCATTATTTTCTATCTTTCAACTCAACAAGAACCACCATTGGAGGATTTCACCTGCATAGCTCTGCCGACATCTCCATTTCTGTTGGTTCATACCCCCATGTTTCACCAGACGCCTTGGAGCCTCTCTTCACCGCGGTGAACGATGATGGCGTCGGCTTTGCGGCAGTGGCTTTTGGTGAAGGTGGGTGCTGGGGTGCTGCTGCCAGTACATGCAAGGAGCCCCACAAAAAAGGTAAATTGGTTTATAACTAGAATAATTATATAACTGGGACTTCTGCCAGATAATTATTTCTCGATGGTGGAAACTAAACTACTTTATACGTGGGGATAGGTGGGGATAGGTGGGACGGGTGTGGCCCTTCCTGCAGGGATTCAGGGATTAGCCAAAAGTTGCCACGCAGGTGGCCACCCCTCATATTTGTGTAATATTGTAATGTGGTAAGGCCAAAACATCATCCAAATCCATACCCCTTATTCACAGAAATGAACGTGGATGGTGTGTTCACCATCCACAAGTGGACCTTTAACAACATTGGGATTACAAGATTGGATTCCTGCTCAAACAGAAATCCCAACTTCGCAGTGGATCTTGCTATGTCTTGCTAGGACTTGAGATGAACAATGGCATTTTTGCCTTACGACCGTCCCACGAAATCTTGCGATGCCTCTTACACACCGCGCGGAGTGAAGTCTTTTGGAGGGAGCCACTCGGCCACTCGATTGGCGCGGGTGAAGATCAGGAAGTTGCATATGGCTACATGGATTAGAACAAGTAGAAACAACATGAAGCAACTATGTTAATATAATTGAATATAGAATAATATAGATAAATTATGATAAGTTAATAGACATAGACTATAATTGGGTTATACAACCCCCACCATTTAACTGGGATCTCAGGGAGAAAACTGCAGTTGCCAGTCCCGCATCAGGCCCTTCGCCGAGGAATTTCGCTTCCGGGGAGGACAAGTGGGTCGAAAAAATGCCGTGGTTTTAAGGACCGATGAATGAGCACAACATCATTTGTTCCATTCTGATTTATTGTACCAGCGGATGGGATATGTCAAGCAGACTTGCCTGGAGACTGTCGCTTGCCAAGAAACCAGTTCGGAGGAAGGGCTTATGTCATTGTTGGTATTTCACCATCCAAAGTCCAACCAGCAATCCACATGTCAACTGGTTAACAGTTCTACTGGTGAACAGTTCTGTTGTTTCTTCGTTGAACCGTTCACGTTGTGAAGTTGGAGTCACTTTTGATCCATGTTTGTTGGCATGTTTGTCATGTTTGTTCATTTTGCTGATTGGTACCCAAGAGTTTGGGCTCAACATCAAAGTTCTGGAATGTGCGTCAGTTGAAGCCCTGTTGTTCATTGCAAATATCACCTACAACATCGAGATGAAAAATCTCGCAGGCACTTGGATGGCTTTCTTGGACCTCTTTTGGCGCCACAAGGCATGGCTCTCGTCTCTCTGTGACGTGAACCATGTACCGGGCTATGCGCTGCTTCCGGAGGTTGGGTGCGGCTGAGGTGGTGAGGTGGTGAATGACATGAGTTGATGGATGTTATGGATGTTACCCTCTGGTAATTTAACATAGCTATTGAAAATGGCCATTTATAGATATTTATAGTGGATTTTCCCATAAACAATGGTGCTTGTCCATAGCTATGTTAAATTACCAGAGGGTATTGTACTAGACAACTCAAAAAGTTTGGGTGTATCATGGTGTATCTGAAAATGGAGGATTTAATGGCATTTAACATCATGATTTAACCAGCAACGATACAAGAAACACAACCAACTTGATACTATTGGGGTGTCTGGAACTAGGGTATACACCAAAAATGGCAATCTTAATTGGGATGATGAATTAATACATGGATTTTGGGGTACCTTATTTTTAAGACTATAATCCCGACTCCTAATATTACACACACACACACTAGACAAGAATGGATCATTATATGATCCGTCAGGAACTGAATCCTGAAACATGCAAACCAGCCTAGATAACAGTGCAGCAAATTGTATAAGATTGTGGTTGGGGTTCTTAGCTTGGCCCCTTGCTATGTCGGAAAAATACAAGCGCAGGTACGTCGGGATGATCAGTCCCGATATCACAATCTCAAACCACCGTCTTCGTTGGGCAGTGGATGGAATGAGATTCACTGCCCCCCTGCATTAAATTTAGATTTAGAAAGGGAGAGGACAAAGGAAGAAAAAGAGAGAGAAGAAGTTTTACATCTATTCAGATGTTACACACACACACCCGGCCGGAGCCGGGTCAACCCTGAAAGGCAAGAGGAAGAAAAAAGCGGACACACGACGGGCAAACGGCCAAAAACAGCGCAGGGGGGGGAGGGGAACAGACGGACCACCGGAACCAACCTACACGGCGAAACGGACCTGACAAAAACAGCGCACACACCTAAACCCCACGACACATTACGGAGAGGCACGCGGGGAGAATTAGGGACCAAATGGGGGACAAGTTGATGACCGACAGGAAAACCAAAACAATTAATTATAAACAGGATTCAGTCCCTAAATGCCTAAAAAGTCGTGCAATTATTCCCTGCACCGGGACCGTGGTCAAGTCGTGCCGCAATGGCATAAAACAGCTTTCAAGTTCCAACGAATTAGATGCACAATATGTTTCACCTCACCAGAGAACCAAAAGGAAAGAATACCACACCTGAAAGTCGTGTGCCTGCCTGATCATAGGTCGTGAAATAATGCAATATGACGCTGCAAAAGTTGCTGCAAAAACGGAGGTTTCTGGCAATTCAGAACGGCTGCACAGTTGAAGAAACGCATCGGCGAGGAATCCCTGGGACCGCAAGATCAGCGGGACAAACTCAAAAGGCAGGAAAAACAGTATGGCCGGCTGTTGCAGTTTACTTAGATGAATTACCAGCTTAAAATTCGTAAATTCGGTAGTCCGGACAGTCATCACTCACCCTGAAAAGGGTTGCCTCAATTGGCTCCATGGCACCATGTCGGAGCCACCATGGAAATCACACTAGACAAGAATGGATCATTATATGATCCGTCAGGAACTGAATCCTGAAACATGCAAACCAGCCTAGAGAACAGTGCAGCAAATTGTATAAGATTGTGGTTGGGGTTCTTAGCTTGGCCCCTTGCTATGTCGGAAAAATACAAGCGCAGGTACGTCGGGATGATCAGTCCCGATATCACAATCTCAAACCACCGTCTTCGTTGGGCAGTGGATGGAATGAGATTCACTGCCCCCCTGCCTTAAATTTAATTTAGATTTAGAAAGGGAGAGGACAAAGGAAGAAAAAGAGAGAGAAGAAGTTTTACATCTATTCAGATGTTACACACACACACACCCACAACAAAAATGGTCCGACATATGTGCAAATCCCCTACAACACCATGGTCTCTTATTGGAGGGATGGGATGATGGACCATTAAAAATATCTAACAGAAATCGGATGTGTAGTATGGCATTTTACCATCAACGATAATGAATATTTTGAGTTTTTAACTATCAAACATATGGGAATGTCATGGATGAATGCTGGCTGCTTGTTACAGGGGCTTAAATAGTAGCTGCTTTATTTGGGATTTATTTAAGCCACAAGAGAGATGCCTATCAACCAACCAGCACAATGAGATGGGACAAGGGTATAGTTCATAGATCATATGTGCAGCAGAGGAAGCTTGAGGAGCGACACCTCCTGAAATTGATGACTATAGAATTAGTATAATGCGCGCACCGTTGATGTATTACATTGGCTTGATTATTTGTGCAATTACTGTATCTAGAATCACCGGCAAAATGTTGGTGTATGGTTGGTTGATACGGGTTACTCTGTAGTCATCTAAGCAGGAATGTAGACGGCTTTTGTTACTGGTCAGCCAAGATTAGCTATGTTCCAGGCCAGGGCATTCAACAAAGACCAAAGGTCAGAACAGCGTGATTGTGATGTCCATGGCAAGTGTCATGCGTTTGATTCGGTCCACAACTTTTTTGAGCGCGGCTCAACCATGGGATGCCAAGGGGGCTAATTACAAAAACACTATTTTGCTTCAGACATCTTCAGACCATCTTGATCTATCCAATCTTGGAAAAGGCAAGACTGGAGCAGTACGGGGTTGTTTGAAAATAGACGAAAATAGGTGAATTGCCACCAAATCCTATGGTTTATCATGTTTATCATAATTTTCCCTGTAAAAACTGCCATTTTGGGGTATACGGTATACAACATTTTCAGATAGACCAATGTGGGCTGTGGACACCAGCATTTTCTCCGCCAGGTGTTCAACTTTCCGGCTTCCCTGGGAGCCATTTTTCAGGCGCTCAGCTTTAGGGGAGATGGATTCAAATTTTAAGTCAGCAAAATGGTGGCGTCAAGGCCGTCAAGGTTCATCGATATATGATGATATATGATGGTTGAATAGAAAACTGGCAGGCTCTATATAGTTCTCAAGACGTCTGGCATATGGCCGTGATATTTGGCTAGGCATTGCGATAGTGAATCAAAGGGATGAAGCTAGCGGGGTATCTCACATCACAGCTGTTTCAATTCCAAAATTGCACAATTTTCCAGCTGGCTGTGGAGAACACTGGAGAGAATCCTGGGGAGAATCCTGGAGATCCAAAAGCAGTACTGATCATCAATTTCATCATCAATTATTTCATCATTTTCATCATCAATTTCATCATCAATTTCATAATCAATCACAACTCATCGATGCAAAGTTGGGCAAAGTTTGCCATGGTTTGTTGGTGTCTTGGACATTGTCCATCTTTCCATCATTTTTCCATCTTGATTCTGGCCCAACACATTGAAGGGATAAAAGGTCATTGGCCATTGGCACCAATTGTTCATTGAAGATATATAAAGGCCACGTAAACATTGAAGGGAGACAATCTAATTGGCACAACTTGTGAAGCCGTGTCCAGCAAGAGCACAAGAGTCACAAGAGCAGGGCGAGCGAGCAAAGAAGTCGAAGAGCAGAGTCAGCAGCCTTGTGGTTGCATATGTCCATATATTTTCCAACTATTTCTTAGTTGACACGACCGACTAGAATACGTCCATAGAAAACGTGCAGAAAAAGGAGTTCACTTGGCATTGACAATGCTGGGAATTGGGAAGGTCTATGTGACCACGAAATTCTACAAGACAATCCTAGGTCTATGTCATTGAACAGATTCTCCTCCTGAGATTGAGTACATAATTCATCGTCGAATATTTTTGTTGACTGCATGCCATGTGCGGGCGGTGGAGGGTCAGAGTCATAGCCTGTGCTTTCGCCGTACCAGGCATCCTGTTTTCCACCTGGCTATGGACAACCGATGGCCACTTCAAGCAAACTACACAGTCCATCCAGTCAGTTCAGCCCATCTCCATTCAAACCATCCAGTTCCCTGAGCGAACTCCTGTGCCAGACTTGTCGGACACAACAACCATCTCAACAGCGACAATGACAACTAAGACTACGATGACATCCCAGCTTCATGGCTTTCCACACCAAGTGAATCCATGGATTCCTTACCAGTTGGATGCCCAGGGCATTGAACAATTAGAACGTGGCTTCAATTTTCCTTTGGGCTGCAACGCGACGTGTCCAGCAAAGACGTTTCGTTGCAGCGAAGTCGAAGTGCCTAGGTGTTTTGACATGGACTGTCACTGTTCCAATGGCTTTCTGCTTCCCAACGAATTTCAGACATCTGTATCAACCCATGGTCGTATTGCGGTGGTTCTTGCAGGGCAGACTAGGTCCTTTTTCAGCGAACTTATGAATGAGTACTGGCGGCTCTTTCTGGCACAATTCCATGGGGATGCCGTGCTCTTTGCCGTTTTGAGCACAGTGTCCGGGCAGAAAAATCGTTACTCGGGCTTGCCGAGCAGAATGAAGGATCAGGTGTGGTCAAAGTTCACTGTCCGGGAGCTACAGAAATGTCTAGACCAGCTTAATGTGACGTGGGATGCGGTGTTTTTAGATGACTCTTGTAGTTGGGAGGTGGCAAGGAAATACGTCAAAGACCGTATACTTCGAGACATGCTGACACCCAGCAAACCTGGAAAGTTGCCTGGGGAAGGCGGATATGAGAATGTGTTTCGTGCTCGAACCATTGCTTTTGATCGTCTTCTTCAGTATGAAAAAGAGACTGGTCGCCGGTTTCAACATGTAATTGTGTTACGTCCAGATATCGTAACATACTTCGGCAATGAGGACCCTGTTTCGGTAGTACGCTCCGTGAAGGACACTGTTCTGTGGTTTAATGACATGGTGAGCATTTTTGAGCGGAAATTCGCAACTTATGTTTTTACCGTGCCTGCAACAATGCGAACGCTTCATTCATCAGCGACAGATCCGGATGCTTTCCTGGCTTTGCATCATAGGTTGTGGAATCGCTCCAACACCGCGAGTCGCATCATCATACCCCATGGTCATTTAGGTTATCACGGGATCCCCGTTTGTGGCAGACAATTGCAAGCACTTCCCATCATCCGATGCAACTTTCCGGACCTCGAGGTCCTGATGATAGGCATTGTACGAGACCTCTGGAGGGTCAAGGGGCCACAGCGCGTGTGCCTGGATCTCATTCGTGGATCCTTGAAGCTTCTGCAGGAAGAATTTCGTCGCCTCGGGGTCCGGGAAAGTTTGGTGGAGAATTTCATCGTTTGCCACAAAGACATGTGAAGACATGTTGTGAGACCTGGCTCTTGACACCGCTCCAGTCGAGCCAATGCGGAAAGCACATCTTGGGAAAGAAAAGTTGTGTTTTGGCTTGGCCTGCAGCAGCTGCAGCACATTTCATTAGCCACATGTCTGGAGATGTCTGGAGTGCTTTTTACCGAGGCAACTCTTGATACTTCCAGATTCCTGGAAAATTTTGGAGTTAATTCAAGTAACATTCCGGTATTCTGTCGGCGTGACCAAAAGCAATGAGATGTTGGGAGCAATGCATTCAGTTACCGTAACGGCTACATATCTCATATCACAGAACACGGCGAATTCGGTTTGATGATCTTTGATTTGATGTTTTCTTTCCAAACTTGCCATGGATTTTCCTGGCCATAGAGAATCCTGCAGCAACGTTCTGCCGTTCTGCATGAACTGTTTGGGACACCAGTTGATCTGACTGGCCATGTGCACCCGATAATCAAAGCTGGCAAAGGAAAACACATCAGTGATCATCATTTCAAGATGATATGCCAATGTTATTTGCCTCCACAATATTTTGCATAATCATGGAACATTGGCATAATAATCATGATATGATATGATATGATATTTTATAATCATACAACATCACTTGATCATCCACAAGACCTTCAAAAATTGACATTTTCCATTGCCAGGCGACCAGGTCTGGGTAAAAAGTCGGTTTTCTCATTACTCCAGTGGCGACCCGTGCCGACAGGTGTCAGACTCCAGGAGCGGTGCCACTTCGGCGATACCGGCGATACCCCACAACTGACCAATCGTAATGGGAAAAAATGACAAACCATCAGGTTTTGGGGTGCCCGAAATTTTGAGAATTTTTGAGATGCACTATTATGATCTATTATGATCTATTGTGACATTATGACATCTATTACACATCATCTCGTACCCAACCAAAAAAGGGTAGACGAACGTTTTCAATTTTTGTTTACTCTGTCTGTTTCCAGGATGTGAACCACAGGATAGCAAAGCAGGCTTTTGACCCGTGCCCAAAAGTTGGGACAATTTAATTGTAACATATTGTAACTATTGTTGTTCGTCGGAAGGTATAGCCTTTCCACCTAGCATAGCAAAACTATAGGATATGTTTGATTCAAACCAGGTCAGTTGATTTGTTTGGTGAGCGAACTGTGCTTCCATCCTGCACAGAATTGAAGCTATTTGAACAGACGCAGAACAACCAGCATTTGACGGTTGACGACTTGAGGTCCTTCAACTTAAATCCCATATTTTTGGTGAGAGGTTTGATGTTAATCTATACCTGTATATATACCTGTATATATGTATAGTGACCAAGATTTCCAACTACACACCATAGTTCAGGAGTTTGGTTTGTAATCAGATGTTTTACATCGCAAGATTGCATTAAGATCACATTAGCATACCAGTCCAACTCACACATCGACATTATATATATTTCAATATGATTCTATAATATGCTATATGCATAGTACCTGGGTTGATATGCGATAATCATCCTAAGCTATACTTCTATCCCATATCTCATAGTAACTGAACGATGTGCGAGCTGGAAAATCACCATTCTTAAATAGGTAATGTTCACAAATGATCAATGGGCCATGGCTTCCATAGCTATATCAAATTACCAGAGGGTATTGTCTTATTCATAACATCTATAAATTTCAATTAACCAGTATGAATGATGAACAATGATGTTTAGACTCATTCTAATACTTATCAACAAAATATGGTGTTCTTATGTTTTTGCCAGCGGGTGTAAAACCGCGCGTGTAGTCGTGCATATTTTTCTAATGGTTGTATCTCTCTCTGGGGTTTCGGGTGGGGGGGTTGGGGTGGGGGGGTGGGGGGGGTGTGATAACGTCAATGTGGACACCTTCTTGATTCTTGCGTTCGGAATATTCTGTGCTGTTGTTTCTCGGGGGTTTCGGGTGGGGGGTTGGGGTGGGGGGGTGGGGGGGGGTGTGATAACGTCAATGTGGACACCTTCTTGATTCTTGCATTCGGAATATTCTAGAACTATTTCATACAACATCTATATAAGACTTTCTTTTTGCTACGCTTTGAACTATTTCATACAGCATCTAAGACTTTCTTGTTGCTACGCTTTGAACTATTTCATACAGCATCTAAGACTTTCTTGTTGCTACGCTTTGAACTATTTCATACAACATCTAAGACTTTCTTTTTGCTACGCTTTGAACTATTTCATACAGCATCTAAGACTTTCTTGTTGCTACGATTTGAACTATTTCATACAGCATCTAAGACTTTCTTGTTGCTACGCTTTGAACTATTTCATACAACATCTAAGACTTTCTTTTTGCTACGCTTTGAACTATTTCATACAGCATCTAAGACTTTCTTGTTGCTACGCTTTGAACTATTTCATACAGCATCTAAGACTTTCTTGTTGCTACGCTTTGAACTATTTCATACAACATCTAAGACTTTCTTTTTGCTACGCTTTGAACTATTTCATACAGCATCTAAGACTTTCTTGTTGCTACGCTTTCAACTATTTCATACAACATCTAAGACTTTCTTGTTGCTACGCTTTGAACTATTTCATACAACATCTAAGACAGCGCAAGTCTTCCTGCAAAACACTGCTTGACATCCTTGGACGGAGAAGTAATAAACCGGCAACGGAAATTGCGCTGGCACTGTGGCGGCGTGCAAATTGACCAAACAAATAGTCAAAATTCGGACCCCAAAATCTAAGGTTTCCAGACCCAGAAACCCTGAGACGTTTGTCACTTTTTCATGAGAAAGTGCGCCACTACACGCGCGGTTTCACACCCGGCGGGATGTTTTTGTTTGCAAAATCATCATAAATGGTCCATGTTCATCGATTTTCCATAGCGATGGATACATTGTGCAAGGCTTGCCCCGCGCTGTCCCTGACCGTGTTAGACTCCAGGAACAGCTCACATCGGGGTGACCGCCGCGCGGTGCAGGTGGCCGAGCACTGGGCCAAGGCAGGGATGGGTGGTTATGTCTGAAAATGGTGCATACCCCAAAGGGCAATGTTAAGAAGGAAGACCATTGAATTTCTTACTGGTGCGTTTTACGTAGGGTTGCTGGATGGGTTGCTGGGGGTTGCTGGGATGATGACATTACTAGGGATTATGGATCGTTCCCTCAAATTCCCTGCGTTTAGCAGCAGTAAGATTTAATGAATTTTAGGGGTGCCCGATTTTCAGACAAACCCATGTTTGATAATTAAACCTCCATAGATTTCCTTATCATTGATGATTAATTTGTTCAAAAGATACAATTTGTGTTGGGTATTTTTGAATGGCTTGTAATCCCCCCAATATTCAACATCCCTAAGAGACCATGGTCTAGTAGCGGATTTATAATGATTTATACAATTTTATACATATATTTTGGACCATACCTAGCGGGTATTAAATGTTAGGATATGGGATACGATGGGATTGTTGTCTGAAGCCTTGGGTACCCCATGGTACCCCCAAACCCAGTGGTTTCATCATCATTATGCCATATGAAATCCGTATGAAATGGCTATATTTAATGGGGGGTTAGCCCATGTTCAGACGAAGCCCAAAAGTGGGGTTAACCAGCAACACTAGGGATTATAATGGGATTGTCACGGGATTTTTCATGGGATATATATGAATATATATGATAGTTACCTTCTAGTAATTTGCTACAGTTTGCGAACTGGAAGCCATGGCCCAGTTAGTTCGATGAGTATGAGTACCGATGATAAGAAAAGGGTGATGTTCCCTTTGGCTATGTTAAAATATGTTAAAATACGATAGGGTAGTAGGGAGGAGGGTAGTAGGGAGGGTAGTAGGGAGGGTAGTAGGGTAGCCAATAGAAAGGAATGTTGGCTTGGTAACGTCATGGCTCACGATGCCGGATGAAAAAATCGCAGAGGACAGGTGGCAATGCGCCACCATGTCGCCGACAAGGTGGGGCAACACAGCGATAGAGAGCTAAGTTGGTAACCTAACTCCAATACCTATAGCTTACGGAAATGAAGTAACTATAATTAATGGGGTGAAACTAAACCAACAAAAAAATACCTTTGGGTGCCCACCTTGTACCTCAATATGAAGATGTGTTCTACCTATTTGATGTTGAGCATTGAGGCCGTCAGCAATGAGTGCAGGCAGGTTGTGGCCCTTGGTGGCCAGGATAAAGGATTCCCATGGATAGCAGATTCGACATTGCTGAAATTACATGCCTGGGTTCAGAAAAAAGCCGCATTATCCATGTCTCAGCCATAGGGCATCATAGGGCCACATGTTTTTGTTCATATCACCCTTTTGAAACCACACTTAGAGATGTCCCAAATCGCTCGCAAAGTTGGCGAACACAATCAGATCAACCAGGAGTTTATGGCCGATATATCAGATCTCTATTTACAGTTTTTAAATGTTTTTTAAATGGGTTTTAGACATCAACGTATATTATCTTAATATCTTATATAGTCAGGGGAAGGGGGGCCACTTTCAGGTGCTGGTGGATTCGCAATTCCATGGCGTGCGGATCTTGCACTGGGTAGGAGCGAAGAGGCGCCCCTGGGCATCAGCCTCGGCCTGGCTCATGGTTCCTGATCACTTTCTTTTGGGGTTATCAGTTATCAAGCATAAAAATGAATGTAAATATGGGATACATGCCCATGTAACTGGCCATTTCAATGGGGAAGACAATAATCAAGAATCAGATTTCGGGGTTTTCCCGTATTTTCAGACAAACCCAAATGATGATAGCAAGATTGGCTGGTCTCTCGTCCTTGCAAAAATGGAAGCCAGAACATGAAGACCAAGCCGGAACAAATGGCATTGTAAACATTCCCAAAATGGTGAAACAGTTGGATAAGACCTTATACTTTATAAGACTTCAAGTCAATCGAAATGCTTGGTTTTTTCAAATTCATGAGTGCCTTTGAAGTTCAAGTTGACAGCAACTACCAAGCGAACCCAGTTTTAAGGCTTTGTGTTTTGGCCGCCTCGGCCTTCGGCGCAGGAAACCCTGGCTGCACTGGTCCCTGGCTGCTCGCACTGTGCTGGATCGGATGTGGTGGCGTCAGCATCGCCTGATGTGTCTCCGAAGACCTGGCGTCCGGGACAGGCGGCCGGTCCGGGCTGAGTGGCAGCAGGATCTGCCGATGATGGGGTTGGGGACCTGGGGATGGCAAGTTTGCTGTTTAGCCAACGATGGGGATTTACATGACCTATAGTAATTACATGATGGATGATAAATCTTGGTGTAGAGCCCAACTCTGCAATGCGGTGAACCAATCAATCAAGCTCCTACTTGTATTGCGGATGGTTTGGACAGCTACAACCCATTCATCCATTCCTTATCGAATTGGGATGATTGCCAATTAAGTTGAGGAAGGACATGTCCATGTCCATTTCTTTGGTTGAAGAGTAAAGCTAATGGAGAAAAGAGGACGGGACCCTCGACTGCGAGAGGAGGAACAGGGACAGGCTGCGTACGGGTCAAAGACCCACATCATTAATGATACTGTATTCTATCCTTAATATTAATACTTATTCCGGTATATTGAACCCAAAGTTGATCCGCTTGAAATTTGCTGCCTGGTGGCTTTAAAGCTCAGCTTATTCATTTTTTTCAGATACTGTCCGTCACTTGATAACTGACACAGGCTTCCATGTGTGCGGACATAATAAGCAGCAAGCGGTCCTCGCGTAGATAAGATAGACATGGTGGTGTTTCCTTACAGAATATCAGCGTTGCTTTTTTTTATTTATTTACGCTTCATTTCTGTTTATTCGAATAATTCTCATAATATGAATATCCTTACACATTAAGATTTGTAAAGTATATGTGTATATACCTGCTAAACCCTTAGATTGGAAAAAACAACTCTGTTTCCAGAAAACCTGGTTTTTTGCAAACAGTGTAGAAAAAAGTGCTCTAGAGCACTTTTTACCGTTCGAGGCTATTCTTGGGTCTTTAGGGTATATCATTTCCAATCTCAGGTGAACATAACTGTATAGAGGGAGATGTTTGTATATATTTACATACATATATATATATGATATTAAAAATACATAGAGGTTTCCTGAAAATTGCACATGCATACAAACACATGCATATACACTGTATATATATATATATTATATATTTGTAATCATCAACATGTGGGATTGAGAAACAATAATATAGCGCACCAAGGCACAAAATTACATGTCCTGTTCCCAAATTCAATTTATATACATTATGAATGGTCTGATTGGTCTGAGGCCAAACTCATAGAGGTAATTAAATACCTTCATGGGAATGTCAACCTCCGGCTCCCGGAGGAATGGAAGCAATGCTTTCCAACAAGACTGTGATCAAGTTTGATCAGAGTGGTTGTGGGGAAAGGTATACCCTAAATACCAACAAAATGCTTTGAAACAATTTCACTGCCTACATATATTCGATCAAATGGTTTTGAGGGACAGGTAGGCAGCTGCAGGGAACCCTGAAATTGTAAACTTCATTTTTCTGAATGGTCAGGAGGGCATGTTGACCCGGGAGCACCCATGGATTGCCAAATATTGGCTTTGTCACTTTTGTCATGGTTTGAATGGTGGCTATCTGGGATTTTTGACCCACAATGGAAAATTAACAGGAATCTTCAGGTTTTAAGCGTTTTCCAAAAAAAAAAGAGAGAAAATCAAGAAAAACTAAAAAAAATGGAAAAAACGGATTGAAAAAAAGCGTAAAATTACGTAAAAAAAGCGTTCAGATTGGAAATTACCGTTCAAATCCAATTGCGTAAAAAAAGCGTACCCGTTCGAAAGCGTTCAAAAAGCGTTCGAAACGCGTTCGAAAACCGTTCGAAACCGTTCGACATTACGCAAAATGTTACGTAAACTTTTCAAGATCCAAACCATGCCGTCCCCAAAGTCACCTGGACCACTCTGGGAAAACTTGATTCAAAACATTGACCCTTTTCAGATTTACTATCCGCAGTTGGCGTGCTGGAAAAGATTTTACCGCAGTGCGCTGCCTCTCTCTTGGTTTTTTCAGCTATGCAACATTCACTGGTCACCTGTTTGGAGACTCATATCGGCTACTAGAGGTTACACCATAATTTTGAAGGTATTTTGAGACCATATATCCCTTTTCAATTTACATCAGTTTTACTGACTGGGATGTGCATGCATTTATAGCTTTTGATTGGCAATTATATAATGTTTCAGTTGGCAAAGCAAACGTCTCAGTCCTGTGGTTGGTTTTTTGTTTCAGCAGTATAAGCCTCACAATCCCAAATCCTGCTAGATCGCGTGAGAAAGGTCAGATGAAATTTCCCCTGATTCCAAAGATTCGCATGCTGCCTACATAACCAGACATGTATCACCTCGTTTGACGGCATTGCGTACCTTCAACCGGTACCTTACCCAGATCATGCTGGCTTGGCGAAGCTGATAGCCTGCAGTTGTTTCCCTCTATAAGACTACATATATATATACATCAGCTTTATATGGGTGTTTTCTACAAACAACAGCCAGTCAGCTTGAGTTTGGAGGCCATCGTAAGATATCATGCCAAATGGTATGATTTAGTCATTTTGCAAGGAAAACACCTCTAGAGCGTAAAAAAGCGTTCGGATTGGAAAAAACCGTTCCAGAGCACTTTTTGCGTTCAAAATGGCAAAAAAACACGTTTTCTTAAAACAGAGCAGAAAAAAGCAATCTGGAGGGTTACCAGGTATGATTATATATGTGTATATCATTCCCATATATTATATTGTTGGTCAATCCCTTATATATATGTATATACATATATCCCTATACAGTATATGTTTGTTTCTGGTTCTATATCTCTCTCTCTCTCTCTAAGAACTCGCGCGGCTTCTGTATTCTGCCTTGCAGGTGTCGCATTCATTGTCGTTGAGGGACCTCGAAAACAAGCTCAACTGGGACCTGGCTCCTTGGGCTCCTTGGCTGCGACCTAATTAAGTTGGATCATCGCTGCTGTTTCGGTTTCTGGTTTAAAGATTGTTAAAGGATGTTACATTCGGATCAGTGTGGTTGGATTGTACAATGATTGGACATGTCAGATTTATAATGATGAAAAAACACTGGTTTGTACACATGTGTTTGTCATGAGTATTCTTTGACGTCTCAGACTAGGTCACTGGACAGAAGTCCTATCTTTCAATGGCAAAGTTCCCATCTGTTTTCGCCGAGGCGAATCGATGTTCCGTGCTTCCCCGGCGCTTTCTACGATGTGGAGAATGAGATTGCTGGGAACTGTCGAGTGGATTCAAATCGTCCAAGTGGTGCGGGAACCCAAGGTGTTTTGATGGGGCAATTCATTACATCACGGGGCCGTATTAGGTGGGAACCCCCTAAAGAATTTGCCATATCTCAGGTTTGTGGTTGACTATTGTACCATATTCTACCTATCTACTAGTTCTCCAGATACTATACTGATGGGCTCCATATATGGTAGTTTGCGACATATCTACTGTATCTACTATGGCATACACGGTATACATGCACAGTATTCGCAATGCGTATCAACAAAATTCAACACTTGTAAAATGGAACCTGGAAGAAAGTTTGTCCAGAGATGCTTGATGATGCTTGTATATTGGACTCGGGATTGAGATCGTGCGTAAACATGGTCTGGGTAATGAAGATTCTCATTTGCATTTTGGTCCTGCCGGTGGTTACAAGTAATTTAAGATGGTCGTCCACATATGGTTTTGTTTTTGCTTGTTAATTTCCAAGATGTGTCATCTTCCGATTCAAGACAACATGAGACAACAGTTTGATTCTGATTCCAATTGTTAATCCTATTTGATCCCATTTGATCACAATTGACCTTGGCCAAAGAATTTGATTAATATTGGCAATCCAGCAAGGCATGGGGGACTGGGTGCCTCAGAGGCCCCGCTCCCGGAATCGCTCCAGTGCTGAGGAAAAAATGAAGTTCACATGGGGATGGGTCAAAACCTATACTATAAGGTGCTGCCAACCAAAGAACAAATGTTTGTTGGTTGATGCTACCACATCTAACTATATAAATTATAGTCACCATAAATCCTAGTTGTATTGGCACCAACTTAGCTAACTATGTGGTACCAGGACCACCTTGTATTATCATTATGATTATCCATTGTGTTTGGAAGGATGAACGGGGGTTGAAGCAACAACAATTGGGATGTCTTGAAAAACATGAGAGATATATTATGATATATTATCATCAATCTTTTTTTTTGCCTGATTTAGCCACCACAAATACTTGCATTTTGAAGACCGTGATAGGGATTAATTGTCGCATGATCATCAGACATTCTACAAATGAGGTTGGATATGCTGGTTGTGACCCACAAGATGGAACAGGACCCAATCACAAACTCATGATGTTGCGTAAGCGTCATTCGGATGGTCTGTATAAGTATAGACAACTTTGAATTGTAGAAGGATGAGTACAATTATAATGAATCTGACATGGTTTTCTTTCCTGTCATCGATCATGTGAAGAGACGATGGAAAACAGTAATAAGGACCGAATGGTGTCCACTCAGTTATCTGACTGTAAAATGATCCAGTCCAACGCAGCGCTGCATGCTGCAGCTTTGTTCCTCAAGATGTGAGGCAACAATTGTTTGCAAATAGGGAACCGCATGCTATGTTCTTTTCAGAATAATTTCTGGAATGCATGGCAACTCAAATCTTGATCTTGATCATGTCAAATCTTGATCATGGGAGACTGGATAATTGTCCATCCTTGAGTCATCCCGCAAATCTCCGAATAATTGCTTCAGTTGGGGAAACCGTCCTGGCTTTGGACGCCCCTTTGATACTATGCACCATAGCAATCTTTTCCAGCTATGCTTATCCTGAGCCCTATCATCCTAGCCATGACACAATGAACCCTGCATACTACAGTTACAAGAGGTCAAGGATTGGTTGGCTACAGCCATGTGACATCCAAACAAACAAACCTTGACCCTACTGCAGTTGAGCTTCAACCCCACTTCATGGGCATTTCACCCCAGCTCGGGTCTCTGCAGTTCCCACAGGAAATCAACTGACTTCAAAAGGTCATGAAAACAGTACTTGCGGCAGCAGTTACTCATGGGCATGGTAATGGTCCATGATGGTCATAACCTTCATAAATAGGGAGATAAATATACAGCCAAGGATGATGATACATAATGAGGCATCATGCTTTGCAACCCTATAATTTTGACCAGAGACCCACTTATTAAGTGGACCTGTACCCGCAGGGCTGCCGCCATGGCAATCGACCACCACGCGTCCTCCGTGTGACCACGCGTGCGATGGACTTTGTCCGAAAGGTCTTGGACTGCCAGGTGGGAATTGCCACCATTGGAAGGCTTATCCCACCTATTTCGGGTGAGTCGGGATGGTTTATGGCATGCATACCACATTGCCATGGTCAAAAAAAAACAATTCGAAGTCGATACGATGGGATTGAACTCCCCCAGTGGATTGGCTATAAATTAGCCATCGTCCCTTGATATTCAGTGGTTGATCAGGCCACCATTAAAATCGGAAATGGTTAGTTTACCCAAGTTTCGGATAAACCCAGCTGGACCTTGGTAGCCTAGGCCCAGGAAGTTCAGCTCCCTGCAGTTGCAGGAGCCAAGTGTGCCCATGATGTGTTATCTCTTTTTTTATTTCTTTAATACATACTTTGAGGACCAAGCTTACTTGGATAGACGTGGCAGATAAGATGCTCTGAAATAAGCAGTCATGAATGCTCAAAATGAATCGGGTATACAAGTACCTCGAATGCAACCAGGGCCACCTTTTTATCTTCATGTTCTACTGTAGAATGCTTTCCAGCTGGCAAGCACAAGCAGAGTGAAGGCCCTGTCGGCAGTTTTGGATAGAGATTGTTGAGATTGGTTCATTATGTTTTAATATCTTTAAAGTTTGAAGCTTTGACACGTACACAGGATGAATCAAGTGTACTTTTGTTGTTCAAGAAGCGAGGTAAAGGACTGATCTACCATTAAACTCTGTGTGTTTGATGTGTTTATTGCTCCAAAGGCAATTGTGCTGCACTTTTTTGCTATAGCTATTTAAAAGCAGCACTTTTAATGGCTGAATCATCTAAAATCATCTAAATATACTTGCTCCATGTCCATTTTCCATGGCTATGTTAAATAACCATGACTTTTCCAAAGCAGAGCCTCGCCGGCCCCGTCAGGGAGATGACTGGCATCAGTTGCGGTCCTTGACGCAGCAGTATCTGAAGCAAGCAGGCACTGGAGCAAAATGATGGAACTCCTTGTCTCGTGGATGGCCGGTGAAACATGGCCGGTGAACATTGATGAATCCGAAATCATGAGGATCTCAATGGAAGAGATGGAAGTAGGTCATTAGGCTATAGGAGAAGATGTACTCGTGCCAATGATGCTACGTGATATCAACCACAATCGGACACACACACATCGAACTATATCCAACTGGTGGGTTTGTTGAACCTTGCCAATGTTGCTGCTGTTTGGTTCCAGTCGGAGGCCGTTGAACCTTGCCACCAGGCACAGCAACGAGGCCTCCGCAGCAGATCAGTTCCTTGACGCGACGACTGCTGAAAGTCTGGACGCCCTTGGCGTTGCTCCGACAGAGGCAGGCGCTCTCTTCCCGATTAGCCTTGAGACTTGCTTTGAATACGCTGTGGTGATCTGTGGTGTCAAACATGGCCAGAAACTCTCCAGGGTTTTTGAGGCTTTTGATGGGAACATCAGGAACATCATCTGTTTTTTATTGTTTTTTTGTTCTGATTGTATCTGATTATCCAGCACGAAAAGGGTTCATATTCGGAGAGTATGTTGGAATCCTGGAGGGGCCCTGTGATCCTGGAATCCTGGAGATGGTAAAGCTTTCGTTCCTGACTCTGTTTTTGGACATGGTGGCCTTTGAAAGTTCACGTTTTTTAGTCCCCTTTTAGATGCGATGGCATGATATGGGATGGGAACATATGGGAACTATGATTCTACACATGCCGTATCATGCCATATTGTAGTTGCATTGGGGCCTTACAAGGCTTGGACGTTTCACTTTACTGGATTCTACGCAGAGCCAAGGACAGCACTTGCAGAGGAACTGGATGATGATTTTTGTAACTGGCAACAGGGGTCTTGTGGAGCCTGGGGAGTAGATGCATGTAGTGAAAGGAGGAAGTTTCCTTTGGGTGGTTTAGTTATTGCTGGTTTCATGTGTTTGCTTTCAACATGCTTTAGCATGGTTTATCCATATATGGATATATATGGGAGCCGTCCAAAAACCCCAGAAAGGTTTTTAGTAAAGGACCTATTCTCGCATTTTTCCCATGGTCTAAAACCTGCATCGCGCAAGTTTCGCGCAAGGGCGGCCCAAGGTACGCGCAAGTACTATTGTTATCAATATTACAAGTACTATTTTTAGTTAATATTTTGATTACTACTACTACGACGACGACGACTACTACTACTACTACCACTACTACCACTACTACCACTACTACTACTACTACTAATACTACTACTACTACTACTACTACTACTACATTACACTACTATTACTACTACTACTACTACTACTACTACTACTACTACTACTACTACTACTACTACTACTACCACTACGACTACTACTACTACTACTACTACAACTACTACTACTACTACTACTACTACTACTAGTACTATTACTACTACTACTACTACTACTACTACTAGTACTACTACTACTACTACTACTACTACTACTACTACTACTACTACTACTACTACTACTACTACTACTACGTATCTGATTTAGATCTTAAATATTAATATCTCGAGTTGATAAACATAGATAACCAGGGTGGTAAATAGGCCATCCAAAGAAAAAGGAGCAGATAGATAGATAGATAAATAGATAGATAGATAGATAAAGCAGCCAACGCGGTCTGGAAGACATGCAGCAGCAGTCCGGAGATGGTGAGCAGGAAGGTGTTTCAGAGTGGTTTCAGACCTCTTTTGGGCTTGTTTTTCCGGTACCCCAGCTTTGGGAGATGAAAAAAGAAAGAGAAAAGGTAGAGAAAGAGAGAGAGAGAGAGAGAGAGAGAGAGAGACAGAGAGAGGAAGAGGGAAAGAGAGAGAGAGAGAGATAGAGAGAGAGAGAGAGGAAGATGGAAGATGGAGACAAACAGAAGGCGAGAGAGAGAGAGAGAGACAGAGAGAGGAAGAGGGAGAGGAGAGAGAGAGCGTTGTAAATGGTGAGCAGCGGGGTGTTTCAGAGTGGTTTCAGACCTCTTTTTGTCCGTAGGCTACCTCAGCTTTGGAGAAAAAACAGGAAAGAACGGGAAAAGAAAGAAGAGAAGGGAGAAAGAGACAGAGAGAAAGAAGAAGTCTTGAGACGGTGAGCAGGAAGATGTGTCGAACTGGTTTCAGACCTCTTTTGGGGCCGGTTATGGGGCTACCTAGTTCTTAAGACATCCAAAAGAAGGGACTCAAAACAGATTGTACTTGAAACACATGCGGTCCGGAAAGACGTGCAACGGTCCGGAAAAGCAAGCACCCAAAACGTACTCTAATCGTAGCGATTGCGGTCCGGAAAGGCATGCAGCGGTCCGGAAAAGCGAGCACCCAAAACGCACTCTAATTGTAGACATTGCGGTCCGGAAAGATGAGCAGCGGTCCGGAAAGCAAGCACCCAAAACGTATTCTAATTGTAGCCATTGCGGCCCAGAAAGACATGCAGCGGTCCGGAAAAGCAAGCACCCAAAACGTACTCTAATTGGCTACAATGAGTACATTTTGGGTGCTTGCTTTTCCGGACCGCTGCATGTCTTTCCGGACCGCGATATCTACAATTAGAGTGCGTTTTAGGTGCTTGCTTTTCCGGACCGCTGCAGGTCTTTCCGAACCACAATGGCTACAATTAGAGTACGTTTTGGGTGCTTGCTTTTCCGGACCGCTGCATGTCTTTCCGGACCACAATGGCTACAATTAGAGTACGTTTTGGGTGCTTGCTTTTCCGGACCGCTGCACGTCTTTCCGGACCGCAATATCTACAATTAGAGTACTTTTTTGGGTGCTTGCTTTTCCGGACCGCTGCAGGTCTTTCCGGACCACAATGGCTACAATTAGAGTACGTTTTGGGTGCTTGCTTTTCCGGACCGCTGCAGGTCTTTCCGGACCGCGATATCTACAATTAGAGTACGTTTTGGGTGCTTGCTTTTCCGGACCGCTGCATGTCTTTCTGGGCCGCAATGGCTACAATTAGAATACGTTTTGGGTGCTTGCTTTTCCGGACCGCTGCTCATCTTTCCGGACCGCAATGTCTACAATTAGAGTGCGTTTTGGGTGCTCGCTTTTCCGGACCGCTGCATGCCTTTCCGGACCGCAATCGCTACGATTAGAGTACGTTTTGGGTGCTTGCTTTTTTTTTCCGGACCGTTGCGCGTCTTTCCGGACCGCATGTGTTTCAAGTACAATCTGTTTTGAGCCCCTTCTTTTGGATGTCTTAAGAACTAGGTAGCCCCATAACCGGCCCCAAAAGAGGTCTGAAACCAGTTCGACACATCTTCCTGCTCACCGTCTCAAGACTCTTCTTTCTCTCTGTCTCTTTCTCCCTTCTCTTCTTTCTTTTCCCGTTCTTTCCTGTTTTTTCCTCAAAGCTGAGGTAGCCTACGGACAAAAAGAGGTCTGAAACCACTCTGAAACACCCCGCTGCTCACCATTTACAACGCTCTCTCTCGTTCCTCTCCCTCTTCCTCTCTCTGTCTCTCTCTCTCTCTCGCCTTCTGTTTGTCTCCATCTTCCATCTTCCTCTCTCTCTCTCTCTCTCTCTATCTCTCTCTCTCTCTCTTTCCCTCTTCCTCTCTCTCTCTCTCTCTTTCTCTACCTTTTCTCTTTCTTTTTTCATCTCCCAAAGCTGGGGGTACCCAAAAAACAAGCTGAAAAGAGGTCTGAAACCACTCTGAAACACCTTCCTGCTCACCATCTCCGGGCTGCTGCTGCATGTCTTCCGGACCGCGTTGGCTGCTTTATCTCTATCTATCTATCTATCTATCTATTTATCTATCTATCTATCTATCTGCTCTTTAAATGTATTTCCTTGTATGTTGTGTTCAAGTCTTTTCTGTCTGTAAATTGTTCTTTTCATCAAGGTCAGCTAGACCCCCCGAAGGGGTCTGAAACCACTCTGAAACCGCTCTGAAACCACAGAAGTTCAACACGTGCAGAGCTACTTCCCAGTACTACTTCCCAGTACTACTGTGTACTACAAAGCTTGCACAAACCACTTCCCAGTACTACTGTGTACTACAAAGCTTGCACAAACTACTTCCCAGTACTACTTTGTACTACAAAGCGTGCTACTGTGTAAACTACTTCCCAGTACTACTTTGTACTACAAAGCTTGCACAAACTACTTCCCAGTACTACTTTGTACTACAAAGCTTGCACAAACTACTTCCCAGTACTACTGTGTACTACAAAGCTTGCACAAACTACTTCCCAGTACTACTTTGCACTACAAAGCTTGCACAAACTACTTCCCAGTACTACTTTGTACTGCATGGCTTGCACAAACTACTTCCCAGTACTACTGTGTACTACAAAGCTTGCACAAACTACTTCCCAGTACTACTTTGCACTACAAAGCTTGCACAAACTACTTCCCAGTACTACTTTGTACTACAAAGCTTGCACAAAGCACTTCCCAGTACTACTGTGTACTACAAAGCTTGCACAAACTACTTCCCAGTACGAAATACTAAGTGAATACTAAATATTTAACATTCGAAAACAAGTACGAGAATAATGATGAAAAACAACTGAAATGATGAAAGTGATCCGGGAGTGTGGTCGCGCAAGAAACGCGCAAGGTTGGCGCAAGCTCGGCCCAAGAGGCCTTTATGGGAACAGTAATTTAGGACAACCCCCATATATATATGGGATGATGAGGATGATGAGGATGAGGATGAGGATGATGATGATGATGATGATGGTGATGATGATGATGATGATGATGGTGATGGTGATGGTGATGGTGATGATGATGGTGATGATGATGATCATCATCATCACCATCATCATGATCATGAAGGTCGAAATTGACTAATATTCTGGCTCTGACAGTCTTGTACCCATACGTGTTCAAAGGGATGTGTACACATATCAAGGTTGAAAGTTCAAAGCTGTTTTTCCCCATTTCCAGTATTAGTGAAGGAGACAAACCACTGGTGCAGATACTGATACAGATGGATTGCAACACTTTTCTTGCGGTTGTTTTGATGTTTTATCTGTCCATACCCACCTTTCTCTTGGAAATGGGATTGTCGGGGAACAGCAGCATTTTGGGCCATGGGGTCTGTGCTGTTCACTGGGCCGTCCAGTTGATGAATTCTGACCTTTTGATTTTAACTCACTGGATCTGGGCGAGAGGCATCTATGGCATCATGACAGCCCATTTCTGGCGTTGCTTCGATCAAGATCTCAGCAGCCCGTCCTGGGTCGAACAATGCCTGCAGCGCTTGACCAGAGGGCCGCTGCTGAACATGGACACCAGAGAAGATTGGGGGCCTCTGGAGTTTTTCGGCCTGTGATATCCTACATTATCGTATATATGTAATCTGCTGAAATCTAACTAACTTGTTTGCAGGGTACCTAATGTCTGCAATCAATAGGTACGGATTGGACCGGCAATTGGACTGGGGAATCGAGCCTGGTGTACAATAAACCGTTGAAACTACTGGAATGGAATCGGGATGAGGTTTGTATTTGCGGATTTTGTGGCTTCTTGGCCAGACCTCTATTGACAATTTCAAGATCCACTTTGGCATGCGAAGCGAGCGCAGGTTTTCACAGAGTTCCAGTTGGCCTTTGCATCTACTGGTGGCTCGCTGGCACGGATGTAAGCACTTTGGTGTTTCAAGAACAATCAGTTGCCGCTGACTTGACTTATGAAGATCACCAATCTCTGATGTCACAATCTTTATGCAATAATAATTAGAGAAACTCCGCTTTCAAGATAGGCCATAGCTAGGGTCAGCTTATCAGCACACGTATCTATATATGATTATATAGGTAGTTCTGATCATGACAACATGTCGTACAACAGCCCCCTTTTATACAATGTTCAAGCAATTTAACTTCTATAGCAACCCCATCTCCCATCTCCCATCCATGGCCCCAGGACCTTCGTTTGGTCCAGGATCAGTGGCAACTCTGCCGTCTCCAGGGGCTCTCCTTCGAGGCCTGTCCCAGTCCCTCAGTGCCCGCGCTGCGGCACACGCTGCGGATGGCTGCTGCACGGCCGGCGGAGCCTTCGAAGCCTTCGGAGGCGGTGCGGCAACAGCTGGTGGCGCAGGGGCAGCAGGTGCAGCTGGCGATGAAGGAGGCTGGATGGGGGTTGGCATATAACTGGGGATGAGCTGGAATTAAGTTATTTTTTGCTTTTTTTTAAAGAAATGGTGGTTACCCAGTGGGGCATGCGGTTGGGTCATGCCAGGGTTTTGATCTGACTTCAGTGTATGAGCCGTTGAGTTTAGGGTGGTTTAGTTTGCCAAAGAATGCAAGTTGCATTGTCACCCTGCGAAATTCAAGATGGAACCCCCCAATTTTATGCTATTGGAAAGTGATTTTCCTACCAGAAACAGCCATTTTCCCAGGTGCAGCTGGTTCTGATTGGCTCCCACATGGGAAGCAACATGGAGCCTCTCTCCATGGTAGAGGCCTGCTTCGGACAACAGGGTGTCGTCCTAAAGACCACTGTCTTGGGGACGACCTATCCCTTTCCTGATACTTGCAGAAAGGTGCTGATTTGATGATGAATTTTGAATCACCCCAACATGCCCATGTTTCTTTGATTAGGGATGTAATTAGTGTGAATTATTTGGGTGCGTATATAAAGATACCAGACATCTATGCACTTCTTCAGTGGGAAAACCTGGGGAAGCTGTGGCTGTTTATTCACGAGAGCAGAGAGAGCATCTTCCCATGATGGCAGATAGCGTTCTCAGTGGCGGAGCAAAGGTATTCTCTGGAATTATAGGTTGTTCAATGGCTGATTGTATTTCAGGGAGAAGACGCACAATCTCCCAGGTTCTTCCAAGAAGCCTACCCCTCCAAGCCATTAATCCAAATCCATGAGCACAAAATTCACAGCATGCCATTGTTCGGCTGTGCCCTACAGGAAACATCAATGAGTACCCTTTAACAGCAGTGATGTACCTGATGCACAGTTAACATCTGAGGAAATTATGTGCGAATCCTTTGGGCACTGTGCAACAAACTCCTTCATCGATGATGCAGTTCGCTTGCTCGTACAGCAGATGTCCCTAGGTAGCCCAGCGTGGCCGAGGGGCATTTTTTTGACACGCCGAGGGGCCACGTTTGGTGAACTGTAATAGGGGGGGATCTACTGAGATAGGGCACCTACCCTCTGGCAAACGTTTACGTAACTATATGGAAAATCACCATTTGTCATGGGTAAATCCACTATAAATGGGCAATTTTAAATAGCTTTTTGTATGTTTACCCGATGGTATCTGAATGTTTCCAGAAGCTAAGGTACCGCCCCTCATGGGAACCGGTGCATTTGTTGAATCTCTTGACGCAGGGACTAGAGGAGCCATGGATGCAACCTTGGGATGTGGGCAATGTTCAGCCAGTTCCAAGCAGAATGGTGATATGATGGGTCATTTAACCAACAAGTATGGGGATATAATAGGATATACTATGATATATGATAGGATACTTTGAATTTATCATTAATATTATATACTATGATATAGTAGTATATACATATAAAGAGTTTGTTTGATGGGATACAGTATATAATCAGGTGTGGAAAATGGGCCGATCAAATCCTCAATTTATGGCAATGTCAATAAGAACAAAAATGCGGATGAACCAGCGGATCTAGGCGAGCCAATGTTCAGTCAAACCATGTTTTTTTGCGTACCCTATTTTGGACGCATAAGATCAGTCAGCTTGGCTTTTCCCCGAAACAAGATGTCATGTTTCTTTGGGACAGTTCTATACTTCCTGGCAAGCGGTCTTGATGTTCCAGGCTACATCCAATGTGGTGCCTCCCCCAGTTTTGATTTGTTTTTTAAGCCCATAAAATCCATTATATATATATGTATATATATATATATGTATATATATATATGTATATATATATATATATGTATGTATGTATGTATATATATATATCTATAGATATAGATATATCTACCACAAGTCCTAGTGAAATTGGAGTTCTGTGCACCAACTTAAGTATTCAGGACGGTATAAATCCCCATGGAAATCCCCATGGAAATCGGTGGTTAAGTGACCAGCACAACCACCTGCTAGGATCCAGCCCTGCGGAATGCCGAGCTTTTCGTTTGTGCCCAGCCCATGGCACTCTGTTCCTTCCTACGGAGTCTGGTGGATCAACCCATGCTGCTCTATCAGGCAACCAGATAGCATTTGGATGCCCGGAACTGAGAATTTCAATGGGTTGAAAACGTGGTTTCCATTTTTGTGTAGGGACTGCAATAATTATAGTGTCCATTAATGGAGTCCATTAGTTATAACCTGATGGGGATCGAAATTCGTCAATAAATTGAAAACTTGAAGTGGGGACCCAATGTGTATGGAAATTCATTGGTGATGTATGGTTTGGGATGACACATGTCATAGTCATGATTTCTGATATGGGAATTCAATCTAGCGATGTCTAGCGATCACGATTGTCTGCAGCTCATAATACAAGCCAACCATATATATATATATATCAATGTTGCCAAGTATAAAATCATCATGGCTAACCATCAACATGCAAAATTGCATAAATGATATGCGTTGCGGAGGAACACATTTCATGGAACAGTGACTTATAAGACACCACAAAAAGTCGTTGCCCACGTTGACCACCAACCAACACCGTCAACAAATAGGAATAATACACATGTTTTATGTGGTTTTGAATCTATACTCTCAAACCTGCGGGTTGACACATATCTGTGTAGAAAACCTGTAAGGTCATTTGGTTTGGTTTAGGTTACCTGGTTCCAAAGCTGTACACCAGGCCTTCCCTTTGGTTGGTGCAACGCCAGTTGCGTTCCGACACTCAGATGCATCTGGGAAAGTCAAGGTTCAAGTGAAAGCGACCAGGTCTGTGTGGGTCCTGTTGCATGTTGGCAAAGTCCATCTTTGAAATAAACATGCAACATGACCATCTAAAAAAACATGACATTTGAGTCCTAGCAACTTGCTGGTTTTTGCACATCAATTCATCAGTTGGTGGCTCCAGCCACAGCCTCGAGGTCATTTGCTCCTGGTGCAGCTCAGTGAAGTCCAGAAGTCCAATCCGCATCGCTCCGTGCTGGTGGCATACTCCGAATTCTTGGCACGGCAGGTGCAGCGGCAGACGACGCCTGGTGCCTGAAAAACACGACTGGTGAAGTTTTAGGAGATTGATCATGACCGATAAATGACTGCAAAGCCGGAGACGATGGAATTAATACCTCAGTTAGCTGTTTCCTTTTAAGGTCTCTTTGGATCTCCAAATGTACAGTTTCCACCAAGCTTCACCAACATGGAGGATCCTACAATGTGGTGCCCCCCCAGTTACAGATAGGTACAGTATTTTGGTTGGTCTATAACACTTCATAACCCTCATCGACCATTGATCCTAGCTAACCTACTTATGGACCAACTTGGCCAAGTATATATTGGGCACCACAATCCATTGTGAAGTACGGCTAATTCATTGTAATTCCTTCTTTTTGCTGGTGAACTAGCCTTGCAACATGTGGAAACCTGATGAAATCTGTGGTATCCAAGCTGACCCATCTCCAGAGTTCCCAGGAACCAACGTCCCTTGTGCTTGCGGCCTCACTCCCTCTATGCCTACCGCGACGGCGGCCGCTACCTGCCAGACACAGCGCATCCCCGGATCCTGCTGGGGCGCATGGCCGGATGGGCGCGGAACAGCGCTGGAGCGTTTGTACGGTGACTGGGCGGAACATGGCGGGGAAACAATGGGGAAATAGCTGAAATGGATTGAAATGCTGCAAGTTGTGACAGCTCAGTTGCTAGATTTCACTTGAGGTCAACTAGGATTTATGGGAAAAAACATTTATTTATATTCCATGGGGTTTCTAAACCAATTCTAATGTTGGAAAAATAATTTTCAGGGCAACAACACCAAGCAAAGGTACTAGATCCACTTCCGATTCTGGGGATGGTCTATCCTGTATGATTGAAACCTTATTTTTTGTAGGTCACATACTCATACTGATGTTTGTTGATAATATGGAACGTTTGGCAGCTTTCAACATGTGTTAACTTGTTATGACCAGCTGTTTGCTCGTGAAATCACGATTTGTGCTATGTTTTTGTTGCTTACTCCCATTAAACAACCATTTTGGGTAGTTAAATCCCATTGAATCACCATCTTATCATATGTTGATAAACTCAACTTGTTTGATATATCAGTCTCATATGAAATCTTTTTGACGCTGTGTTACGTGCTGTGCACCTTGTTGTCCCTGGCACGTGCGGTCCTCTTATGTTGACCTCTCATTGGGACTCACTTGAAGTGACCTTGGTCTCTAGATCTTATCATGTGCATTTTCTGTTTGTTTGGTTTCTGTTTGCTGGCTTCCGATTTATCAGTATGACAACTGTGCTTGTTGATAGACCACTGATGTACAACCGGCTGAGGGGTTCTTTGCGTTTTGGTTTGATAAACCTTGTTTTATGCATTGCCACAAACGAAACCTAAACAGTGAACACACCTGACAACACTCTACAACTACAACTTGGGTTTTATCACTGTATATGATATATGCAGCATTTGCCAATCCTGGCACCCAAGTTTTGAAACAATGGTCGCTCGCTTTAGAGCTTCCAACGCGGCGCAGAAGGGCAACGCAGCCCTGATTCAGGACATTCCCCATTCTAGTCCATATTCTTACTTGTGCCTGGCATTCCTTAGTTTCTGCTTGGGTGTCTCATTCACCTTTTGGTATCTCCTTAATTTTGAGTAGAACAAGGGGGTATTTGGCTACTTGGCATTTGCTTTTTGTTAGCTGTTGCAACAGCACACTCACATGGTCGTAGCATCCGCTTGCCATGAATGATCTTGATGTCCTCTGTGCTCGGAAGAGGTTTGTGAACGGCCAACTCAAGCTGCCTTGGGAACAGCATTTCGCTGCTCAGGTTCTTGGTCCTTCCAATGGGAAGAAACCGTCACTACTTGATGAGCCTTCTTGGGTTGGTTTTGGCGATTACATGCGACGAGCTAGCAGTGGATCACAACCGGATTATGTTCAACAGACTTCTGTACATCCTGGAGCATCTAGAAGGATTGCTGTGGCTGCATCGCTCAAGACAGATGATGAGCTGCTTTTCAAGTCTCTGGCAATGGTGAATTTTTTGTTGCCTATGGATCTATCTGCAACAAGCCTGGGAGACGTTTTAGCTGGTCTTGTTATGCAAGTAGGAGGTGAAGAGACTGTCACACAGGTACTTCGAGACACATTTTCGAAGAGGGCGCCTAGCACTGTTTACAAGCGTGTGTCAGCCTTTTGGCGATACAGCAAGTGGGATCAGCAATCTGGAAGGTGCAATCCATGGTATTTCTCAGAGCAGAAGGTTTATGAATATCTGGCATACCTGCGGTCCTCACGTGCTGCTGCCACATCAGGACAGTGCTTTCTGTCATCTCTGGTTTTTATGCACGAGCATGTGAGGATCAAGCATTTTGACAGGGCTTTTGTGACACCACGGGTCAGGGGCATCGAGCATGAGCTGCTTCTGAAGAAGAGGCCACTTCTTCAAGCGAGGGCCTTGTTCCTGGAAGAGGTGAAGGCATTGGAAGCTTTTGTCATCAGCCCGAGTGAGGCCCACCTAGGTATTATTGCTGGATACTTGATGTGGTGTTTGGCAACCAGCAGCCGGTTCTCCGACAGCATGGGGGCAAGTGGCTTTGACGTTGATGAGGCTGTGCATTCAACGGTGGTCTCAGCAGGGACATACAGGCACAAAACATCAGTGTCAGCAGCACAGAAGACTACGTTGCTTCCCCTCCTGGGGCTTGGAAGATGGTTTGCTGACGAGTCTTGGGCAGTTTGCTGGCTCCAGCTTATGGAAGAGGCGTTTGGTCAAGTGGAAGGACGTGGATTCCTCCTGCCGGCCTTTTCAGAGAAGAGCTTGCAGTGGTTGCCCCGCCGGATGTCATCATCTGAGGGCACGTTGTGGTTGCGGGACATTCTCACCGTGGCAGGTCAGGGTCGTTGTGTCGAGTCCCTCACCACACATTGCCTCAAGGTGACAAGGCTTGCCTGGTTTACGATTAGTGGTAAATTCAGCATGGCTGAACGTCGCATTGCTGGGCACCATCTGGACAAGGAGCATCGATCAGCCCTGACATATGGCAGGGATAACCATCTTGCCGTGCTCAAGAAGGAAGCGCTTTTGCTTAAGAAAATCCAAGCTGGAAGGTTCGACCCTGATGAGAGCCGTGCCCGCCATATTGACAGGGAGATTGAAGAGGTGTTGCAAGAGCATGTCAACGCTCAGGATGATGAGGATTCGGACTTCGATCACTTTGATGAAGTGGAAGATGGGGTTGACATTGCGGAAGATGCTGACAACCTTGGCCAGCCGGTTCGTGACAATCCATTGGATCCTGATTTGATATACTGGCAGCACCACCTGTCCGGAACCTTGCACATTGAGAGCTTGCCACCGAAGTTTGCATGTGGCCGTGCCACCAATGCCAACTACTCAGCTGTGTCTGGGAATGACCTGTTGAAGTGGCAGCTCTGCAGTCAGTGCCGAGCGGCCCACTACGGTTCTTGAGAACCTGAGTCCTGGAAAAGCTGTGTCTTTGGGGACCGTCGGTCATGTGTTGAAGCTTCGGTTAGGCAGCAGGTGAAGGTTGTCAGACGTTTCCATTTGCAGATGTTGTCGGAATTTTGCAGATGTTTGCTGAGTCAAAACTGTATTTAAAATTTTGCAGATGTTGTTTGAATCATTTCCTTTTTAGACAGCATGTCAATGCAATGACAGGTTGTTAAACAGCCTCGGTGTTAGGATTGGCAGTGTAGAAACTTTCATATGCATGTCATATTTTAGCTTTTCAAAAACCGACCCACGGCACGTTCAAAGCAGTTGACTGGTCTTTCGGTGTGGTAGCGATGGCAACCCACATCAGTGACCTCATGTTCTTCCAGGTGTGCAGCGCCTTCTGGTGCTATATCAGGCTGGACCTTCCTGGTGGCGCCAAGTGCAGAGAATTGGAAATGCTCAGAGAGCACCTGAGGAATGTGCTGCTGATCCTGGGTGTGGGATTTAGCACCCATTGGGTGACGAAGGTCTGGACTGCCTTGACAATTGTCCTCAAGTCGCACAGAGAAGGAATGGAGATTGCATCGCTCCAAAACGTCCTCCTCATGACGGACATTGGTCCCGAATCAATCGGAGTGCCACCGGGTGCCAGATCTTTCTGGTCGTTAGCCTCTGCACCCAATCGGGAACACCTCCTGGAGGTCAACAGCATGTGCCGCACGGTGATTATCAACGTGTCATACGGCCTGCCAACCGATGATGCAACGAACCAGGCCGATGAAGTCTTTGGAGAAGTTGACTCTTTCCTCGGCAATGCGGCCCTGGGGTTGAATCGGTGAAAATTTAGGTCTGTGGACCTGGAGAAATTTAATTTTTGGAAGGCCGACAGTGCCTGGTAGATCTGTGGATTTGAGACATGGGGGCAAACACTGCCCTGGAGGCAAAAGGATGCCTGAGAGTGCGCTCTGGGAAGTCAGTGTTTGAATGTTTTGAATTCAGATACATCGATGTTGGTTGATCAACATGTCACTCATCAACCTGAGCCGTGCTCAGGGACACGTGAGCTGAGCGTTTCATGTTGCATGTTTGTGGCCCCCATCGAATACATTGATGTCATTTGTGCAACATGTCACTCATCAACCTGAGCCGTGCTCAGGGACACATGAGCTGAGTGTTTCATGTTGCATGTTTGTGGCTCCAGAAAAAAATCCATTGACTGGCAAAGACGTGAGTGCGTATCAACATTTTCATTGTCAGATGTTTGCAACCTTGACCCAGGTAGAGTGACCTGCAAATTGCTTACTAGAATACAGATCAAGATACTTGTACAGATAGACTAACTTATCAAAGCTCGACGCGACACCCATGGCTACTGAAAGCAATGCTGCATTCAAAGCCCGTGCATTGGACTTGGTCCTGAGCGAGGAGAGGTTCGAGCTGCTTGTAGGAGCCGGTGTGAAAAACTTCGGACAATATGCCTTTATCTGTCAGTATCAACCTGGAAGTTCAGATGAGTCCCCACTTTTGAAAGTTCTGGGAGAGATCTACACTGCTGATGTCGCAGGTGGTGAATTGACTGTAGGGGAAAGATCCATCCTTAGAAGGCTGTACTTTGAAAGCCACACCACGGCAGTGCAAGAGATGAGACTGCGCATTGAGAGGCAACCAGATGATACACCAAAATCCATCCCAATGGCCGAAAGAATTGAGAGACTGAATGCCTTCAAAGAAAGTCATTGCCATCTCATTATGGACTACTCGACTGAACCATCTCACAAATTGGTTGATTTGGCTTGCCAACAGGCCGAAGCACAGGTTGTGTCTTATATAGAACTTAGCATGTGCACCAGCCGTGAATCCGAGATCACCCACCGGAAGAAAGAGACGCAGGTCTCCGTGGACCAATCAGGTATGATCAAACTTACCAAGCAGGAACGTGAGTTAAAAGCCGAAGCCACCGGCGACCTGAAGGTCCGTCAGTGCATGCAGCGGCGAGCAGTGGCCTATCACCTTGCCAACATAGCGACCTATCAAGTTCTAGAGAAATTCACGGCCAAGTTGTTTCATTACCTGACAAAAGAGCCAATCGCCAGTTACAAGCCAGTCAGTATGCAGCAGATCATTCATGCTGATCGTGAACTTTGGATTCAGGTATCGCAAACAACCAGGGGCAAGATCCTGACATCGACTCCCAAGCCAATCGATGAGGCCGTTGCAAAGCTGTCTGAGTCAACGGAAGTTTTGTACCATCTGTTGCCGTTACCTCAGAGCCATCAGCCGAAGCCAACAGACAAGCCCAAGCTCGACAGATCACGGTCTCCGAGACGGCCCAAAAACAAGGGTAAAGGGAAAAATAAGGGTGCAGGCAAAGGTTCCAAACCGGATTTGCCAGCCAATTGTGTTGCAAAAGATGAGCAGGGCAGGAACATTTGCTTCGCCTACCAATGGGGCAAATGCCAACACCCAGGCCCACGATGCAGTCGAGGCATGCACTGTTGTTGGATGTCAAAGTGCCATCAGTCGCATCCGTACACATCCTGCCCAAACAAGAAGCCATGACTAGGCGATTTGCCTGACAAGCCTGAAGCCATTTTGGTAGGGCCAGTTTTGCAGTTTTCGCAGTCGGAATCCAAATGTGCAGCTGTTGATTTCGCCTTGCCAGCAGCAGAGATGATTTTCCTAGAAGTTTTTGCAGGAAGGGCAACCCTAACGGCCGAAGTGCGTAAGTCCCTCAACCTTCAATGTATAGCAATTGATCATAAGGTCAAACAGCCAAGAGCTAAGATAACCATTTTAGACTTGACTTGTGCGTCCGACCAAGAGATCCTTTTTAACATGTGCATGCATGCCAATGTAGCCGCCGCGCATTTTGCGCCAGTATGCGGTACTGCAAGCAAAGCCAGGGAACGTCCGATGCCAGAAGGCTACAAGGGGAAGCCGCTGAGCCCTTTGAGGTCCGACCAGCAACCTCTAGGCCTGGACTCCTTGGTAGGACAGGATCGTGACAGAGTGAATGCCGCTAATATCCTTTATGCAGTGACAGTGGTAGCAACAATACTTTTGATTTCCCGCAACACCATTGTCTCCATTGAAAATCCCAAAAACAGCTACTTTTGGGCCATTGCCCGGCTCATTGCAGCATGCTTGGAAAACGGAGCTTTATGGGACAATCTTCATGATATTACCTTTGCTAACTGCATGTTTGGATCGACACGGAAAAAGAACACTACCTGGAGATCCACGCCAGGAGTGTTTCAAGCATTACATAAAGAATGTGATGGCCAACATGTTCACGAATCTTGGACCCCACAAATCGGTTCAAACGGCCAGGTCCTGAAGATGCCAACAGCGGAAGAAGCGGCATATACGCCCGAACTCTCCAAAGCAGTTGCAGCCTGCCTTGGTCCGGAGCTGTTAACCCGTGGGGTCCAATTTCCAAATGACATCCACACAGCGGCCAACCCACGGAAAGTCATCCGAGCAGAGCAGTTCCGCTTGCCACAACTCATTGCTGAGTTCTTTGCCATCACCGATTTTCCAGTACCTAGTTGTGATTCCAAACAAATTCCGATGCCCATAACCTTGGATCATGGGGGTGATTTGAATCCTGACCAGGTGGATTGGCATGCAGATATAAACACCCTGCAACAGCAGCCCTACACCATGAGAGTTTTTAAAAACAAGCCAGCGCCAGGTGATCTGGTGTTTGGCCTTTTTAGATCCCCCAAAAATTTCCTAGCTTGTGCCGAAACTATAATGCATCCGATTGACTTTTCGTGCCCTTTGCCAGATGAGCTTATCATAACCTTGTCTCGGGTGCTTCAGCTGGGCCCGGCTGGAGTGATTGCTCACCGAGCTGGTCGTGCCAAAGAACTGGTAGGCTTGTTAAAGTCTATGGAAGCAGACAATGCGGCCTTCTTGGATTCCTTGCCGGCAACACCAAAGAAAATCTTGCGGGGAAAGCGCATGGCCTTGTGGAAGCACTTGTCCAAAAAGTATGAATGCCCCGATGTAGGGATAATCGATGAGATAGCCCAGGGATGTCCCTTAACTGGCCTGGGGGTGCATTCTAAGCTGTTCCCGGCTGGATTTCAACCAGCCCAGAAACCGGCAGACCACCTGAAGCGACAGCATGTGTGGTTGAGACATCAAGTTCTTAGCAAGTGCCGGTCGTCTGGTAACCTGGAGGTGGATCAGGAGTGTTGGGATCAGACCTTGTCCGAAGTCAAAGATGGTTGGATGGAGGGGCCGTTTGAGTCAGCTAGTGCCGTGACGCAGCACCTTGGATCTGACACCTGGTTGTGTAGCCGGAGATTTCCGTTGGTTCAAGGGGGCAAAGTCCGGTTGATCGATGACGCCAAAGAAAGCCAGCTCAACACTGCATACTATGCCACAAACAAGTTGGCGCTCCAGGACGTTGACTGCCTTGTATCTTTGGTTATGCAGATGTGCAGGTGCTTTGTTCAGCGCCGTGAGTTTGCGATGAGGCTGAGTGATGGGTCGACCGTTTCCGGCAGGGTGGCTCCTGACTGGGGACCCGAAGTGAGCTTTCTTGGCAGAACGCTTGACCTGTCATCGGCATATAAACAATTGCCAACTAGTGACCAGGAGCCCTGGTCCCGCATCATTGTGGTGCATTGCCCGGTTGACAATAAGCCCAAATTCTTTGTAAGCTTAGTACTCCCTTTTGGCTGCACGGCCTCCGTGTATTTCTTCAACAGGGCCTCAAAAAACTTGTGGTGGCTCTTTCAGAAAATGTTCATGGTAATAGGTACCACCTATTATGATGACTATCCCACAGTTGAACCGGAAGCCACTGCTGGTTCGGCCCGTGCATGTCAGGAGCTTCTCTTGACGAGCCTTGGTTGGAAGTTTGCCAAAGAGGGGAAAAAGGCCTTAGACTTCTCGCAGGTGTTTGATGTGCTTGGAATAAGCCTTGACTTGTCTGGTTGCAATAGAGGTAACTTTTCCATCAACAACAAGGCCAGCAGGGTTGAAAAGATCCTTTCGCAGGTTGACCAGTTTGTCACCAGGGGCTCCGTGACCTCAGCTGAAGCTGCCCAGGTGCATGGCATTCTTAACTTTGCTCAGGGCCAGTACTTAGGCAGAGTGTTGCAACCTGCAATGCGGTTTTTCCAAAGAATTTCCTTGCAAGGATGGAACGAAAACTTGAAGTCAGAGCTGGCTCAGGTGGCCACGTTCCTGGCCACTGCCTTGTTATGCGGCCCACCCAGGGTCCTTAATATTTCGGATGCCCTCACACCAGTTCTTCTTTTCACCGATGGTGCCTGCGAGCCAGCGGCGCAAGGTTTTGAGGTAGGTGCTGGGCTGGTCATCCGAGATCCTGTGACTGGCCTTTTTCGAGTTCATGAGACCCCCGTACCGCAAGCGGTCATAGACACTTGGGCCGCCACAGGCAAGAGCCAGGTCATCGCTGCATGTGAGTTGTATCCGATTCTCATTGCCTGGTTGCACTATGGTAAGTCTTCCATAACCGCAGAGTAATAGTTTTCATCGACAACTCCTCTGTCAAGACGGCTGCTGCTAAAGGTGCGTCCAAGCAGGTAGAGCTCTTTGCGTTGTTGTCTTTGATATGCCTGGAACAATCCAGACACCCCACCTTGGTCTGGTATACTCGTGTGCCATCAAAAAGTAATTGTGCAGACGGCCCCAGCCGCCAAAATGCCAGGTCCACCGCCCTTGACTTGGGGGCACAACTTGGCGAGCCGATCGGTCTAAGTGGGCCGCTGCTCCAATTTCTTGAAGGTACATTAACCTACCCCGTGTTGATGAAGAAGTTGGCTGAGGTTTGGAACAAGGGGGAAGGAGCTGTGACTCCATGAATACCGAAACAGACACTAAGACCAGTGTGTCTGGATGATGGTATGCGTTTTCTCGAATGTGCCTGTGTCCGGCACTCCACTCCCCGCTGGCCAAATGGCCCAACAACCTGACAGCCAATTAATCAACGCGGCAAAAAGAAAATTATCAAGACCGAGTGAAGCCATTCCGTTCTGCACTATTTTAACGTTTTGTAATAAAATTTAATTTGATGGATGCGATCCTATATGCGATATCTGGAAGGTCACCAGGTATGAAGGTATATATATGATATGGTGACGTTGCGTTTGCAAACTGTGTTTTGTCCCGTCCAAAAAGTTTCATGAGACGATAAACTCAACTTGTTTGATATATCAGTCTCATATGAAATCTTTTTGACGCTGTGTTACGTGCTGTGCACCTTGTTGTCCCTGGCACGTGCGGTCCTCTTATGTTGACCTCTCATTGGGACTCACTTGAAGTGACCTTGGTCTCTAGATCTTATCATGTGCATTTTCTGTTTGTTTGGTTTCTGTTTGCTGGCTTCCGATTTATCAGTATGACAACTGTGCTTGTTGATAGACCACTGATGTACAACCGGCTGAGGGGTTCCTTGCGTTTTGGTTTGATAAACCTTGCTTTATGCATTGCCACAAACGAAACCTAAACAGTGAACACACCTGACAACACTCTACAACTACAACTTGGGTTTTATCACTGTATATGATATATGCAGCATTTGCCAATCCTGGCACCCAAGTTTTGAAACACCCACCCTCCCAACCCTGGGGGGAAGGAGCTGTGACTCCATGAATACCGAAACAGACACTAAGACCAGTGTGTCTGGATGATGGTATGCGTTTTCTCGAATGTGCCTGTGTCCGGCACTCCACTCCCCGCTGGCCAAATGGCCCAACAACCTGACAGCCAATTAATCAACGCGGCAAAAAGAAAATTATCAAGACCGAGTGAAGCCATTCCGTTCTGCACTATTTTAACGTTTTGTAATAAAATTTAATTTGATGGATGCGATCCTATATGCGATATCTGGAAGGTCACCAGGTATGAAGGTATATATATGATATGGTGACGTTGCGTTTGCAAACTGTGTTTTGTCCCGTCCAAAAAGTTTCATGAGACTGGTCGGTGAATCCCATTAAATGGTGTTTGGATATGTTTTGGATAGTTCAATCCGGTTTTCATCACCATGACTCAACATGTTCCACAGGTAAATCCCATGACACCATGGAAGCACCCAGGCTGGTGGAAGCTTTCGCAGAAGACATGCTGCGTCCTGGGCCCTTGCGCCTGGCAGCTGTGTCAGCATGGGATGCTTCATGGGTTATGAATGGTTAAGGGGTTGAACTATTGGTTGATTTCATGGGTTATGAATGGTTGTTATGACCCATCGCTGATTAAACTACCCCAAAGTGGTGATTTTGGCAGGGATACACTGAGAGTTAACGTTAGGTAGCTTTGGAAAATCACAATTTCGAACACGTCAATTCATGATAAATAATCATAAAACATGGAACCAAATGGGCCATAGCTGCCATAGATATATTAAATAACCGGTTGTTACTGTGTTCGAGTGAAATGCCACCAACTGACATTCTATTTGACTCTAAAAAATCTGGCGAATTATTCCAATTCAGTTGTTTCAGTTTTCCACCAGTTGCTTTTCATTTTGCGTCTGCGTGGCATTTATAGTTACTATCTGTCGGCGCGTTCGTGGCAACCACTGAGTGCCAACAAACTGGACCCAGTTGCCTCCTTACTTCTCGTACTCCGAATTGACATGTATGAAACGGATGATTTTAATTGATTTTTACATATTCGAATAGGGTAATAGTAGATTATGAAAGAGTTCTCCCAATAAACCCAAACTTATCAATGATATATATATAACAGTCATGAGCAACATCAACAATCATTAAACACCATCCAACACAATTGTAAAGAACGCATGAACCAACATCACAAGTCATTAAACACATATATATATATATACAAAACACATAAAATTAAACATATCACATGTCATCCATCTCCAAGTGACCCCATCCCCCAGAAAATCTGAGGTCTTTCTGGGTCTCAACCGTCCCAGCAGTGACACCGTGGCCGGCCTCAGTCGACCCTTCGGGTACCACGAGCTTCGGCGCTTCCGTGGGGCAGCGCCTCGCGAAGCGATGGATTTTCTGGGGATGAAGGATTCCAGGTAGAGCAAAATGTTATTCAATGGTTTCTTTGATGGGATGATCTATAACTATATTGCGTGTGTATATATATATACATATGTGTATAATTATAATTATATGTATATTATATATCTGTGTTTTTAACATATTATATATAACATGATATATATATATAACAAAATATATACATAAAATATACATAATCGAATATCATAATATTATATATATATATATAATTTTGATATATGATATTATATATGTAATAATCAAAGGAAGTTTAGGGGGAGAAACTTCCGTGTTACGGACTTTTAGAATGTCAGGGAAAGAGTTAGTCAAAGAAAGAGTTAGTCAAAGAAACAGTTAGTCAGGGAAAGAGTTAGTCAAAGAAAGAGTTAGGGAAAGAGTTAGTCAAAGAAAGAGTAGTCAGGGAAAGAGTTAGTCAAAGAAAGAGTTAGCAAAGAAAGAGTTCGTCAGGGAAAGAGTTAGTCAAAGAAAGAGTTAGTCAAAGAAAGAGTTAGTCAAAGAAAGAATTAGTCAAAGAAAGAGTTAGTCAAAGAAACAGTTAGTCAGGGAAAGAGTTAGTCAAAGAAAGAGTTAGTCAAAGAAAGAGTTAGTCAGGGAAAGAGTTAGTCAAAGAAAGAGTTAGTCAAAGAAAGAGTTAGTCAAAGAAACAGTTAGTCAAAGAAAGAGTTAGTCAAAGAAAGAGTTAGTCAAAGACAAAGAGAGTTAGTCAGGATATATGAGGTAGTCAAAGAAAGAGTTAGCAAAGAAAGAGTTCGTCAGGGAAAGGTTAGTCAAAGAAAGAGTTAGTTAGGGCATTGATTGTTCCCGCAATGCAAATGGGATTGCAAGTGGTGCTGCCGGATGAGTTGCCGATGGAGTTTTGAAGGAAGTCTCGCACGAAATGCGTTTTTGAGAGATAGCAGATGCACGAAACCCTATGTTTTTCCATACAAAGTCCGTCCCCGAACCTCGATGATCTACCTCTGCGGTGCGACGGTTGCGAGACGGTCTCGTGTGTGGTCGGATGCTCGGTCTCGGATCATTCTCGGATCGGTTCCGCATTGTAAATGGGGTGTCAACTGTTTTTCGTGCTGCACGAAACCCTATGTTTTTCCATACAAAGTGTGTCCCCGAACCTCGATGATCTACCTCTGCGGTGCGACGGGTGCGAGACGGTCTCGTGTGTGGTCGGATCATGCTCGGATCGTCTCGGATCGGTCGGATCATTCTCGGATCGGTTCCGCATTGTAAATGGGGTGTCAACTGTTTTTCGTGCATGTGTGGTCGACAGAATTCCATTGTGATTTGCAACTGTAGGATCGTTCCCGCAATGTAAATGGGATTGCAAGTGGTGCTGGTGGATGAGTTGCCGATGGAATTCCATTGTGATTTGCAACTGTAGGATCCTTCCCGCAATGTAAATGGGATTGCAAGGTTGCTTCCTGCTTTGGCTGCATGCGTAATACTATTGTCTTTTGCAGCTGGACTTCGTAAATCGTATTGGAGTGGCTGCATGAAGGCTGCGACAGTGATTTGTCAGCAGATTTTCTTCATTTTGGCGCTAGTGATTTTCCTTCTAAAAATCATTTTAAAAAGTGCTTCAAAATCGTCTTTTTTTCGCTCTGGCGTCGAGATCCGGTTTTGGAGCTACAATTTCCGACGCCGTTGCGCGTAGTTCTATTGTGTTTTGCAACTCAGTCTCTGCAGATCGCATTGTAATGGCTGCGTCAAGGTTGCTTCGTGCTGTGGCTGCATTCGTAATACTATTGTCTTTTGCAGCTGGACTTCGTAAATCGTATTGGAGTGGCTGCATGAAGGCTGCCACAGTGATTTGTCAGCAGATTTTCTCCATTTTGGCGCTAATGATTTTCCTTCTAAAAATCCTTTTAAAAAGTGCTTCAAAATCGTCTTTTTTTCGCTCTGGCGTCGAGATCCGGTTTTGGAGCTACAATTTCCGACGCCGTTGCGCGTAGTTCTATTGTGTTTTGCAACTCAGTCTCTGCAGATCGCATTGTAATGGCTGCGTCAAGGTTGCTTCGTGCTGTGGTTGCATTCGTAATACTATTGTCTTTTGCAGCTGGATCTCGTAAATCGTATTGGAGTGGCTGCATGAAGGCTGCGACAGTGATTTGTCAGGAGATTTTCTACATTTGGCGCTAGTGATTTTCCTTCTAAAAATCCTTTTAAAAAGTGCTTCAAAATCGTCTTTTTTTCGCTCTGGCGTCGAGATCCGGTTTTGGAGCTACAATTTCCGACGCCGTTGCGCGTAGTTCTATTGTGTTTTGCAAATCAGTCTCTGCAGATCGCATTGTAATGGCTGCGTCAAGGTTGCTTCGTGCTGTGGCTGCATTCGTAATACTATTGTCTTTTGCAGCTGGATCTCGGAAATCGTCTTGGAGTGGCTGCATGAAAGCTGCGACCTGGATTTGTTAGCAGATTTTCTCCATTTTGGCACTAATGTTTTTTTGCTGCACGTAGATTTAGAGCAGTGCGAAGTGTGGGGCGTGAAGAGTGCAGTGTGAAGCGTGAAGTGTGAAGGAAGCAGTGTGAAGTGTGGAATGTGAAGTGAAGTGAAGTTTAAGTTTGGAGTGCGAAGAGCGCAGTGTGAAGTGTGAAGTGTGAGGTTTGGAATGTGAAGGAAGCAGTGAGAAGTGTGAAGTGTGGAGTGTGAAGTCTAAGTTTGGAGTGCGAAGAGCGCAGTGTGAAGTGTGAAGTGTGAGGTTTGGAGTGTGAAGTGTGCAGTGTGAAGTGTGAAGTGTGGAGTGTGGAGTGTGAAGTTTAAGTTTGGAGTGCGAAGACCGCAGTGTGAAGTGTGAAGTGTGAGGTTTGGAGTGTGAAGGAAGCAGTGAGAAGTGTGAAGTGTGCAGTGTGAAGTGTGAAGTGTGGAGTGTGGAGTGTGAAGTTTAAGTTTGGAGTGCGAAGAGCGCAGTGTGAAGTGTGAAGTGTGAAGTGTGGAGTGTGAAGTGCGAAGTGAGAAGTGTGAAGTTTGGAGTGTGAAGTTTGGAGTGGGAAGGAAGCAGTGAGAAGTGAGAAGTGTGAAGTGTGGACTGTGAAGTGTGGAGTGTGAAGTGCGAAGTGAGAAGTGTGAAGTGTGAAGGAAGCAGTGAGAAGTGAGAAGTGTGAAGTGAGAAGTGTGAAGTGTGGACTGTGAAGTGTGGAGTGTGAAGTGCGAAGTGGGAAGTGTGAAGTGTGAAGTTTTGAGTGTGAAGGAAGCAGTGAGAAGTGAGAAGTGTGAAATGTGGAGTGTGAAGTGTGAAGTGCGAAGTGAGAAGTGTGGACTGTGAAGTGTGAAGTGTGAAGTGTGAGGTTGTGGAATGTGAAGGAAGCAGTGAGAAGTGTGAAGTGTGGAGTGTGAAGTCTAAGTTTGGAGTGCGAAGAGCGCATGAGAAGTGAGAAGTGTGGAGTGTGAAGTGTGGAGTGTGAAGTTTGAAGTTTGGAGTGCGAAGAGTGCAGTGTGCAGTGTGAGGTGTGGAGTGTCGAGGGAAGGACACGGTCGGGACAGGTTGTCTTTGAACTATAGGTCATTTATGTTTGGGAAACTTCCGCCGCCGGCTTGCCCGGGTCTATGTTATAAAATATGATATTATATATATATATATATACTATGACAACTAATACATATATATAATATATAATAGTGGGAATATAATGAGGTAAACCCAATGCCATGGTCACCAACATGTGTGAATAACATGTCATTTCATGGGAATATGATGGGAATATAGTGGTTAATTATGGTTACCTAGGGTAAACTGCATGCCATGGTCAGCATCCTCAATAGAGGTATGACATTGGGTCTACCCTTGGAATGGGATGATGTAAAATGAGCCCAAATGCTTGTTTGTTTTGAGGGGGCAGTTTTTTTGAGCTTTTCTAAGAAGGTTTTGAACATGTCTTGGATTGATGAATGGCTTCCAAGAGCTCTCCAATCGCCACGTGCTCTTCCATGAAGTGATGAGCGAAAAAACCACCAAGCACTTTCTGTCATGATACCGATGCGGTGATAGAAAGGCCAAGTCGTTCCACCCAAGACAAGTTATTTTCTATGGTTTTTATGCCTCCAGTTTGATTTGGGTTCCCAGCAAAGCAGTCACACCAAGTTTGCATAGCCATTAACCACGAGGGATGTATTAGGCACAGCTCAGGTTGACTTCTTTTCATTCTTGTCCTAATGTCCTAATGCTCCATGGGTTTTCCATGCTTCCAGTTTGAGAGAGATTCACAATGATTAGATTAAGATATGGCGCTGCTGAATATCCCCATCCAGCCACTTACTGTATTGGACCGTTTTTTTCCATGGTTTTTCCATTGGTTTTCCAGGGGGGTATGTCTGAAAATGTGGTATACGGGTATACCCCACAATGGCTACCAAATGTATATATATATATGCAATGAAATTGGGTTAATGATGATACACAATAATCTATCAAAATTTGTTGTACCCCATTCTCGACAAAGCCATTGCATTGTTCATCATTGTTCCATGTTTGTTCAGCCTTGCGTTTCCATATGTTTGGTTTCCCATTTTGAGATGGATGACCATAAACCATATTAGATATCTAATAATTAATATTATATACCATATGGTCAAACAAATTGTATATAATGTGGTATATGATGTGGCAACCATATTATATACCATATAATATACTATATACCATTTTGTTGGACCATGACACGTTCCACAGCATCGTTGCAGGTGTACTTTCCCTGGGACATGGGTATGCTGCTCTTTAGTGAATTGTACTCCATCGGTGTGCCCCTCTTCCTCCCCGACCGTGCATGGATCTCCTCCATCATCAAGCGAGCCTCAGTGTGGACCGAGCAAGGGATGGAACGGATGGGAGATGGAGGTAGTCAGAAAGCCACGGAAAGATGGGATCGAGTTTGAATTCCTTGAGTTTAGTTGGGATAGTTGAGGTTGTTGTATTAGAACTGTTTGTTTTTGCGACCTATGGTGTATGTGTTAATAGCGACATGTAGCACTTAATATCAATACTGTAAAATGTATTTGCAACATCTTCCATTTTAGGGATTGCTAGATATGGTGGTATAATCTTTAGAACAGGCATTTCGCAAACCCTATCATTTGTTGCGCCATCAATGGACATCAATGGGGACATTTGGATAAGAATCAAAGCCTGATCAGGATCAAGTATATTAACCCCCAGAAAGCATAAATAATTAATTCCGGGATGATATATGGAAATATTTAGATAGAATATAGATATAGATATACATACATATGACGTTTTCCCATCATTTCCTACTTTCCAACTCTTTTTTTGGACTTTATTGGAAGGGGGGGCTAGTTGTTGCTGATATAGGAGGCTGCGCTGGAGATGAACCATTGGATTTCTGCTACCAATCTTTGCCCCAGCGGGCACAATTCATAGAGTCATAGTGTAGGTAAACATATGCCACAGACCACCACGGAATGGCCCAAGGAATGTTGGAGTACACCGACTTCGGCTGGTGGCAAGCGCGGGCGGAAGGTTCCGCCGTGTCTCTGGCGCCTGATTCTGGACGGCTGTGGCCTTGGTTTTCCGAGAACTCCACGATGCAAGAAATTTTGGAGTGCCTGGCCATGGAAAACAGGAATACAATAGGGCTTGCACTCTGTGCCGGTGTTTCCTCAGCAAATGTTTGCAGATGTGCCGCAATCAATCAATACTTGAGATGGACAAGATGGGATGTATACTTTATACATCTTTATACATCTTTATTTATACACAATAGCCCCCTTGGGCAGTCCTGGCTGAGATCTAGGAGCTCCAGCCCCTGATACTTTTGATTTTTTGAGTAAATGTGAAGGTTGGAAACCTAGATTTTATCAGCACACTTGCTGGATTTTATCCTGACCTGAAAAATTCAGAAGGGTCCGACCCCCCTCAGGTCCCCTCAAGGGCAATCGATTCCAAAGAGGACCCAAGGGGGGTCAGACCCTTGAATTTTATCTCATTCCAATTTCAGGTCAGGCCCGTTGATTTTATCTTTGGAAGGTTGGGCCTTTGAAATTTAGTTTCATATATTTTCATCATACTTGAGGTTTGGTACCTTGATTTTATCATGTGGAAGGTTAGGCTCTTTGGATATTATGTTCATCCTTGATGTTCTCTTTCGAAGGTTTGGCCTTTGATTTTTTTTCTATCCTACTTGAGGTTTGGTACCTATTTTATTTTCAGATGTCAGCCCCCTTCAATTTAGGTCCAACCTACACCAACCTTGATTAATGAAATCCCCTGCGAAACTGGCATCAAATTGTAACAATGAAGTTTCTTGTGTTGAGCATTGCTGGCATGTTTATCAAACTGGCATGTTTTTCAGAAGGGCTCAGAAGGGGTTTGCTGGGGTCAGGCTCTCTGGAAAACAGCCAGTTGGTCTACTATTTCAGGGGTTTGACCCCCCCCTGGCCACCCAACGGGTGCACACAATCACTCTCACTATATACAATATGCATACGGCCATATACGGCCGATATAACCATCATTCAGAAATGGGATACGTCGGCTGACACAGAAATGGAGTCAGGGGATCACCTCCTCAGATTCATCACCGACAAACTCCCAGGTTATACGACTTGACCGACTTTGTTCGATGGCTACTTGCCTAGACGTGGTCATGGACGTATGTTGCGTGTTTTTTTCAAATGTGGGGACAAGCAATTTGGGTTTTCAATTAATGCTTCACCTGCACATGGAAACGGAATGTAATTGTTTGTGAAGAGCCAAGTTATGAACGATGTGCCTGTAGCATCCTCCACGGATGCAGATCAGAAGCTAGATTCCTTTGGAGCATGTTTCGCGAGAACTCCCTTCCATCCATGTATGGTAGAAAAGAAATGACAAACCTAAATGACATATTTACACATTATATAATTATATATATATGACATCAACATGTTTTTAGGCACTAATGATATATTCGTATATATGTATATACACACCACTGGATATAAACAAACATACAAGTCCTATATACAACCCTATCCCAAATCTATATATATACACATACATAACATATGTATAGAACTATAATATTAATTATGTATGATTATACACCATCCATGGGCGGTATGTAGCTCTAAAGTCATAATGATTTTGTGAGCCTGACCCTTCCAAGTGGTGGCTGTCCTCTTCCAAGTGGTGGCTGTCATGTCCTACCATGTAAACGTTTAGACATTTGATATGGAGTTATAGTGCTGGACATATTGTCATACCGGTATGCATCATGTATACCAGCCCTTCTGGTACGTTACAACTTAGCAATGAAAAATACATGATAGGTACCACACAACTATAATTGTGACTCATGGAAGATGTACATGAAACATAGCTATAGTATAGTAAAGTACTTTTATACCATGCTGGTTGGTGGTTTGGAACATTTTCCATATATTGGGAATAATCATCCCAACTGACTTTCATATTTTTCAGAGGGGTATATAGGTATACCCCCAACCAGCATGGTATCCCATCATATGCCATCCATGCTTTTTAACAAGGCCCTACGTGACCAGCTTCGGAAGCTTGTCGCAGCTCATGGAGGCCTTGAGCCAGGTGCGGGCGGTGGTTTTCACCATGGCTTTTCCCATGGGAAAATGTCTAGGAACTACCCTCTGGTAATCATACAAAAAGCTATTGAAAATGACCATTTATAGTGGATTTACCCATTGTAAATGGTGATTTTCCATAGTTATGTTAGTTGACCAGAGGGTAGGTGAAGAACTGGTTGAATTCACAGGTTGAAAAGCCATAACTTCACCTTCCATTGAAGTGTGGTCCCAAAAATGACTTACCATGGCAAGGACCTAAATGATGAATCTGGAGGATAAGACGTCCAAATGGTCGACTTTCAATGATACCCGTGAATGAAACCCAAATTTTGCTTGTGGATGGTTGTTGCTAGTCATTGCTAGTCAAATATCAATTGTAGGGACGATCAAAGGTTGGCGATGCAGAGGCCAGTATTTGTACTTGGTCAGTTTCTTCCTTTGGCAATGGATCTGTTCAATTCTTTTCTGGAATCTGTCATTTCTTGTCTTAGTAAGACTACCACCAAGATCCACTAGCACTATGTGTGAATTGGAGAAATGGACCCATATTGAATTTCGTGCCATCACTCACAGTTGAATCTCTTGCCATACTACGAGGTTTCCCAGGGATTAAAAAAGCCATTGTCAGTTGGGATATGCCAGAGATATCATGTAATCATATTTTTGTCAGATTATATAGCCATGATATATTATTGAAATTATATATATACTATACTATATCATATTACATATCATATTACCCAGTATATACTACAATTAAAAAAACAGTATAAACACAATATTCAGCCACAAAATCTGTGGATATCAAGGCCGTGAGGTGGAGGTCTTGGACCATCATCTACCGCGTTTTGAGAATGGAAATGGAGGACATATGATAACCTATGTATACATGTGTATATATATATATACATGTTATATATTAAGAATCATTGACATGTTATATATTAAGAATCATTTACATGTTATATATTAAGAATCATTTACATGTTATATATTAAGAATCATTTACATGTTATATACTAAGAATCATTTACATGTTATATATTAAGAATCATTTACATGTTATATATTAAGAATCATTTACATGTTATATATTAAGAATCATTTACATGCTATATATTAAGAATCATTTACATGTTATATATTAAGAATCATTTGCATGTTATATATTAAGAATCATTTACATGTTATATATTAAGAATCATTTACATGTTATATATTAAGAATCATTTACATGTTATATATTAAGAATCATTTACATGTTATATATTAAGAATCATTTACATGTTATATATTAAGAATCATGTAAAATATACTAAATTCACAAAATGCATATATGTTTATATAAGGAGTATATTGCGGATTATCATCCATGGTAATCCAGTTCTTCACCAACTATCATATCATCATGTAACCGAATGGGGAAAACTATGTGACGGCCGACCTCAGCACGATCATTTGGGAAGTATCACGTGCCCACACGCCCACACAACATATAACAACAATGGAAAATCTACGATATTTGTAGCATTTTGTAGCCATGTATGAACGATTTCGATTGATGTTCCCATGAGTTATCGTCTCTTTAACTACCCATTTGAAGACAAATTCTGCGTGAACAGTTGAACATGTGGCAAGCTACTTGAATGGCAGGCTGACTTTGATGCCATCAGTCTATTGGCTGCACGCAACGGTGAAGGTTTTTTCACCGAAATCGGGAGTTTCACCCAGAACCAAAAAGGATTTAGGCATCAAGCAATTGGGATTTGACAATATTGATCCACAGATACATACACATATTACTGTATATGTATATATAATTATATATATACATATAGAGTCATAGGGAATTGCAGGGATATATGGCATCAAACAGAAATAAAAAAAATGACCAAATGGCCGTGGATCAAAACTCAGGTGCCTTTTTGTTCACATCAAAATAGCTGATCCACCATCCTTGACCCAGCTAAACAGGGCAAAAAACCTGGATTTGACCCATGCACTCGGGGGTATCCATGGCAACAATATCTGATTGGTGGTTTGGAACCATGGAATTTTATGACTTTCCAGAAACAGTTGGGATTTTTATCATCCCAACTGACGAACTCATAATTTCAGAGGGGTAGGTATACCACCAACCAGATATGCAATATCTAATATGCAATACCCTCTGGTAAACTAACGTAACTATGGAAAGATCCACCATGTTTAATGGGTAAATCCACTATTTCTATGGCCATTTTCGATAGCAAACTGTTAAATTACCAGAGGGTATCTTGAATATGAGTTCTTCGTCTTGGCGATTTCAGATATTTGATATTATTTGATGCCCCATTTCTACTGAAGGTCTCCCATAAACGAGATGGCAAAGTTGATGCACATAACTTGGTTAACGTTTGGGTTTTTGGGGCTATAACAAGAGTCAATGGAATTATAAACCACATTGTAACATGGGATTTCCCCTAATGATGCACGTTTTCTTGGGATTGATATAGCACCAACCAGTCGAAATGATCGCCTTGCCTTGCCGAGAAGCCATGGCATTCCCTGCTGTTTTTCTGTGAGAGCTCGACTAAGGCACATCGATGCTGCGATGGAACGATGCAAGTTTGCCTCTGTCGCTGAGATGAAGGTATGATTCAGTCCATTCCTATAGTATGTTAATGATGGTTAATAATGGTTGATAATGGTTAATAGTGGTTAATAATCACTGATTAGTGGTTTGGAACATGAATTTTATGACCCATAGGATCCATGGTGCTGCTATATATGGTATCATGGATCCCATCAATATACCCCAGTCATGTTAGCATATATACCAGCACCATGGATCCTATGGGTACTATGTCTAGGAACCATTCGTAACGCCCGAAAAAATAGCAATCTAAACTCACACCAAACCAGTGACTAATCCTAACTTTTTGGGGGTGCGCATGCTATTTATGCATGTTTTGGAAGTTGGTGCGTAAATGCCTATGAACACAAGGTGACCTGAAACAACCAATGGCTTGTCAGATTGCTCTTTGCCTTGCATCTCTTAGTCTCAGGATGATTCGAAAACCATTGACCGCCAACAAGAACCAACCAAAGATTGGATACCCATGGGGATGTGTGAAAACTTCAATCAGAATATAAGAGAATGCCATATTTTCGGGAAGAAGCATCCATAATTAAATCCCACCTGTTGTGAATGTAGATGCCTCTAAGGTCCATGAGCATCCTGTCCAAGACATTGGCTGCGTTGCTGGGTAACCAAACTCCGCCAATGCCAGACGAATCCAGTTGCGTTTAGAAAAGACCTGCCGGAGAAATTGCAGGGGTTGGTGAAACTAAACATGTTGGAAATCATGTGAACATGGTTTAAAATGGACGGAAACTACGGACAATTGTGGAAATTGCAGAAAAATTGGGGAACTTGGCCAACTGAACATTATGAGAATTATTGGAAAAATCGGGGTTGAATCCCCACCACTGTAGTTCCCATGGCCAGAACCCAGGGGAACATTGCTTTGGCAAGGGTCAGAACCTCACCTATCTATGACTTGGATGAAGAAATCATTGAGAATGTTTCCTCATCAAACCAACCAAAAGATACTTTCTGGAGGTAAACTATCCAAATTGAATGGTTAAAACATAATCCAACATTTTGTGATTTCTCCATCTTGCAGATGTTCTTCGCCATGATTCTAGATGCTCATATGACATGCAGCAAAATGTTAAGATTTCCAGAAGCAACACGTGAATTAGCTGACTATGCTAACGGGTTTCTCAGTTTAGGTATTGGATTAAAATGGATGTTAAGTATGGTTGAGTGGTTTCACATGATTTCGCACCGTAAGAGAAACCAAAATGGGGAGAGTATCCAACGACATCATCCCTTTGCGGCAATTTTGGGCCCCAAGTTCCTGGAACATCTTCCACATCAGAGCTGAAGCTTTCAGACAGTACCCAATCACCCAATCTAAAATCTATGTAATGTGCTTGCTCTTGTGAAACAAAATCAGTGCAGTGAACAAGATCTGAGTATATCTGAGTCAAAATTATGAAATCTCCATGTTCTAAGTTTGGAAGCAGTAACCACTACGGGATTCGACCCCCAGATTTTCGACGCGACGAAAAATCGCAACCGTTGGGGCCATGCTGACCTCCGCCATGCGGGCCTTCACGGCTGTGGGCACCCAAAGATGTGATCGAAAACAGGGTGGCAGCGAAGAAGAGATCCAATGATGTCCAATGATATCCAATGTTTTTTTGTTTAAATAGATGCGGCGGATTTATACAAATACAAGTTAAGTGACACGCACGAAAAAATAAGTTGTTTGTGTAACAACAGAGAGATATGATGATGTCATATGTAATATCCGAACTCAACTGCGAAGATTTTAGCTCCAAATCATGAGTCTCTCACTGGCAAATTTCGCAGTGAACTCCTAGAAGTTCATTGATTACTCACTCCGACTCACTTTTAGCTTAAATCACTAAATAAATATGTCACCCTCAGACCCCTAATTATCTTCCCTGGACAATGGCGAGATACCTTGGCCCAAAAGTTGATCGGAACTGGGCTCGATAAGAGCATCCAAGACAATTCGAATTGCGGATGCAATGGCCCAGTCGGAGTCCGTTGAGTGTTCAGCCAGGTCATGGGAGAGCTCAAATCATTCCCATGCAAAAGGTAGACTCGTGGCTAGAGAGAATTGATGTGACCATAGTGGCCAATGTGAAACAAAAAGCTACAAACGCCGGTCGCATCAACGATTTGTTGCAAGGAGCAAGCTTCTATCACTGGCCCAGCCTGCGCCAGATTCAAGCACATCAGTGTGTTCAGTTTTCCCATCAATCTAACTGGGGATAATCCATCATCATAACATATCATAACCATCATGATCATAAGCAGGTTTGTTTCTGTTTTTTTTTTTAAAATACGCCCAACTGACAATATTATTCACGTTGGTTATTCACTATGGTTACCAGCCATGGTTCTTAACCATTGCTGGTGGTTAGAAGCCTCCATAGATGTGGATCAGGGACGACGACCTCACTGCGACGTCGCTGGACGGGGAACGTAAGAGCTAGAAACAGCCTTACATTTCAGCCTAGTGAACTGGTACAACTTCCCCCATCATATATCATCATATATCATCATATATCATCATATATCATCATATATCATCATATACCATCATATATCATCATATATCATCATACATCATCGCATATCATCGTATCTCATCATATATTATCATATATCATCATATATCATCATATATCATCATATATTATCATATATCATCATATATTATCATGTATCATCATATATCATCATATATTATCATATATCATCATATATTATCATGTATCATCATATATCATCATATATCATCATATATCATCATATATCACCATATATCATCATATATAATCATATATCATCATGTATCATCATATATCACCATATATCATCATATATCATCATCATCATCATCAATCATCATCAATCATCATCAATCATCATCAATCACCGTCAATCATCATCAATCATCATCATCATCATCATAATCATATAAATATAAATATATATATATAATTATATATCATCCATGTTGTTTTTTGCCATTTCGAGATGTTTTAGCACACATTTGATTCTGAGGGCATGACGAAGGAGGACCCCAAGGAGTCGCCTGACTCGTCGCCACCGCAGACGCACAGATCCCATGAGGAGAGGGGACCTTGGGTCGGTGGGGCCCCCCAGTTATAAGTTGGTTAACAAAAGCCCCAGTAACTATAGTTATAAGTACCATAAACCATAGTGAAATTGGAGTTATAAACCAACTGAACGCATCTGAACGCTATCTTGGCCTCACATTGTAGGATATATAGGAAAATCCAGGCATAGGATTTAGGATTTCCAGTCATGCATTTCGAAATATAGGATTTGAACCCCCCAAAAAGAATAGAATCTTAACATACCTGGCCACCAGAAGAACATGGAAACAACATGGATTGGATGAGAAATCAAAGCGCCAAGGATCGTTTTCTTCACCAGCAAAACACACGAATACATATGGGCGATTGAAAACCACCAGATTCAACCATTAAGTATAATGATCAGCAGGAATTTCAACCATCACAGACATTACACCAATTGATATGCGGATAGAACAACAACCATGGGTTTTCCGTTGCACGAACGGTTGGTGGTAACAGATTGGGCCAAACTGTGCAAACTGTGGACTGTGGACCTAGTATTTATAGTCCTGAAGTAGATAGTATATGGACATGTCAACAAATCCGCACTAGAATCGAGGTATGCTTAAATAAAGCCCCATTTTTTCTACTTCAGGATTATTACAAATATATATATAGAGACGCAGAACCCAAATGCCCCTTGTTCTGAGGTTTTTTTCCAGAAAATGGAAATTTAACCATCCACAAGAATCCAAAAGAGAGGTCATTTAGGTTCCAGGTATGTACATAGCATGATATACATAATACATATAACTATTATTATATATATATAATATATATGCATACACAGCAATTAGATATGAAAGATAGACATACAACATGGCATTATATAATTATATAGCCTTATAGATATGTAACTTGAAATAACATGCCATTTGTCATGCCATGAAATTTAGTCTCCGGTAATCAACCATGGCCTGCTGAAAAATCCCCAAGTGTACATGACTGTCCTATGAAAAGCTCCAGGATTTTTTCCAGCCATGTTTGATGACACCAGAAATGGCATCATATATACTTTATATGATATCCATTAAGCCATGATTTTCTTACTATTATCCTATCATTTTCCCACTATTAAACCACATCAAAAAGACAGCAAACCTCTGTTCGCCCGAGGAGTCGCTCTCGCGCAAAGGCTCCAAGCTGAGGGCTGAGGCCTATCGACCGCCACTGGACCAGGCGATATGGGACGCCCTCATCTGGCAGGGTGGGGTTCCTGCGTCATTCACGGTTTTGGGAGGGTCATCTCTGAGGTATCAATGATCAGTGCTGTAGAACATTCTGTGAAGGCAGCACTGATCATTGGTCAATTTGGGGATTGGCATTGGATTCTAGCGAAACAAGTAGGGATTAGAGTAGCTACGATGTCAATATCCCGTGGAGTGATGTCGATGTTGCATGCCTCTGGGATTTGTTACGTTGTCATTGCTTTAGAAAAGGCTCAGGCTCGGTGAATCCCCGCGGGGGAAATCCATCATGGGCTACTGGGGTTCCAGTTGCCATGGAGGGATCCGGAGGATATCTTCCAGTAAGATTATCATGTTTGATGATTCCATTGATGGTGAACTCTCAATGCTTTTTTTGTCAAATCCCTATCGGCTTGGTGGTTTGGAATATGAATTTATGACTTTCCATAATATATATTTGTTATTTTCCATTTCCTATATGGGATGTCATCCTTCCCATTGACGAACTCATATTTTTCAAGATGGTTATTGCACCACCAACCAGCTATGTTTCATTGCAAAATGCGGCCCTTCGACGATGAGACCCAAGGACCTGACCTAGTGACCTAGCCGTTGCCCCCAAACGAGGGTGCTAAGTTAGTGCATCCATAACGAGGGGAGCCCACCTTGTAGTGGTCAATGATACTGGTTGAGAAAATGGTGTGTACTTAGTGATGACAGTGATGACCAATGATAATTAACAATAATCAACCATTAGTCATTAATAGTATTTAGTAATCATGTGTGTAATCATGAAAATTCACATGCAATGAAATCATGAGTCATTATTAATCGTTAACAATCACTACGAATGGTTACTAATGATGCCCCTCCCTCAACTGGTTTCAATCCTCTCCGTGGCGCCAGCTATCCGGGGACATGGACACCGCGCCGCGCTGTGAGAATTCCCTGAGCCTAGTGGGTTTGGCGTGTGAAGGCCGAGTTGGGCGATGAGGGAAAGATGTGGAGTAATCATTACAATTACCATGATTAAACACTTGTTATGTATATAATATAAGATTATTATATATAATATGATATGATAATATCATATGATTAAATGAAAGACTTACAGTTGTCTACATTTATAGACGTAGCTGAAAGGATGTTAGATATGTTTTTGTTTAGATAGTGTCTATGGTAGATAAATAAATATGTGCCATCCCAATCTGGTTGGTGGTTTTTGAATATCTGATGTTTTGAAACCTATTTGGTGATGATCCAGTGGGCGAATAGCTAGTGAAAACTGAAATTCATGAAGTTTCAGCTGTGGCATGTAGACCATGCCATGTTTAGGATGGTTTTTACTGTGAATGTTTGTA